TACATTTGCTGAACAAGAGGAACCCACAGGCCTCCGGGAGCCTCACCAAGCTTCCCGAGGCTCTCCCAAGGCCCTCCCTGCCTCTGAGGGAGGAAGGTGCCCCTCGAACCTGAGCCCTCTGTGCCCCAGGGTGGGGGCAAAAGACTTGAGCAGACCCCCGTAACCTTCATGAGGGGTGCTGATGAGAGGAAGGCTCATACTCACTCTCACGGGCCCACACAAAACCAGCCTTCCCGGAAATGTGCGTGTGTCCTTAGCACTCACCACGCTCCAGCCCGTGAAGATGACCCTGGGCTCTAGGACTGCCAAGGCTCCTGCTGCTGTCTCTGCCCGTGAGGCTGGTGTGGTGACCGGGCACAAGATGGTGTAGTGACCGGGCCAGCTAAGGAATGAGGAAGCCACGGTGGGCTGGGAAGCAGGCAGGGGCCAGCCTGTGGACAGTGGTGGGGGAGAGGGAGTGCCCTCAGCCTGGGAAAGCTCGTGGGTCGGGCTCCAGAGCTCACGGTGTTCAGCAGAAAGGACTGTGTGGAGATGGCAGGAAGAGATGGCTCCAGTTGCCACAGGAGGGAGTCTGCACCTAGCACAAGCAGCTCATGGAACTAGAATCATCTTTCCCGTGCGTGCAGGGAGCACCTAGGGCCTCCCTCCCATTGCCGAGCAGACCTGGTGCCCCTGTCCCTCTGCCCCGTGTGGCCGTCCCCTCCACAGGGAACACAGCAGGGCAGGAGGAGCACACCCTGCGGGAGAGGCCATCATTGGGTCACTCCTGCAAATGCCTGGCTGGACCAGGCTGGACCAGGCTGGAGCCAGGAACCCAGAACTCAGTCCCGGTCTCCTACTTGGCTGGGACCTGCTGTTCTCAGGGCGCACGTTAGCAGGAATGCTAGAATAGGAAGCAAAGCCAGGCCTCCAACCCAGTCACTGGGTTGTGGGACTGAGCGTCCCAAGCAGTGTCTTAACCACCGTGCCACACGCGCACCCCAGGGGACAGCCCTGGCTGTGGGGATGGCCTGGGCTGTGTTTGGCTCCAGGGTCGCATGGCCACTTTCTGATTGCATTGAAGCGTGACCACGTCTCCTCTCAGAGCGCCCCCAGCTCCCAGAGCAGTGCTCACCGAAGGGCAGCGAGGCAGGGGCATGAGTGTGCCCCGGGCCCTGCTGGGTTGTTTGTCACCCCCAGAAGTCTGAGCGGGCCGTGTGTTGCACAGAATCAGCACCATGATGGATGGTGAGCGCCCGTCGGCGGACCTTCGCTGCAGCCCACCGGAAATGTGATCCATGAAACCGGAAGTGGCCTGACTGGGCAGCCAGAGTCTCGGCCTCGAGCTGCTGACCACGGTGGTGATGGCGCTCCCGACACCATCGGTCTCCGCCGGAATCCACACCTCGACTTCTCAGACTGGGGAAGGCTGAGCGGGCTGTGGTGCTGTGACCCGTTCTAGCCCTAGAGAGGCCCAAAGTGGGCCTCAGCAAATGACTCTTAGTTGGATGGCTGAGGGGACCGGCCCAGATGTGTGTCCCTGGACAGAGCCGGGAGCTCTCCGCAGGGCAGCGGCTGAGTGGCGGTCATGTTGGGCCCCCAGCTGTGCCCTCCAGGGAAGCCCCTTCAGGTTGAGGCATGGCTGGAAACGTCACTATTGCCTTCACGGCCAAGGAGATGGGACAGGCTGTCTGCGGGGCTCCAGGACTGACCTTGGAGAGTGCAGGCTCCAGTGGGTGGACGGACGGCTTTCTCAGGCTCAGCACACCAGCTGCAGGTGCCCCATGAGGCTGGGACACCGCGCATAGCTGTAGGTGGTTGGAGGGCAGTCCTCACAGCCCCGCCCCGCACCTGGGGAGAGACCCAGGCTTTCTCAGCCACAGCCCCGGAGCTGAAAGGCATCCGTGGGGAAGAGCATGGCCTTCAAAAGCCACCGGCCAGTCAGGACGCACCAACTCCAGCGCTCTGCCCTGTGGCTTCCTGCGTGCATCGGAGTCACAGCTTGGCAGGGGGACTCTGCGCTCCCACAGTGTGGCCTGGGATGGATGTCTGCCCGGACCAGAGCCCAGGCTCCCGTCCCCACGTGGAGTAGGGTGTGAAGACCACAGGAGACAGCACACGATAATGCTGCAGGAAAACTGGTGAGCTGCCAATCGTCAGGGATGATTTACAAGACCAGACGCAGGGGTGAGAAGAGAAGAGAAAGAAGTGTTACTTGAGTAAGAAACAGAGAAGCTCCCAGCAAACGGAGGAGCTGGTGGAGAGAGAGACCAAGCCACGGAGGTCTCGGAGTCTAAGGGTATTTGTACGTCTTCATCTCCAAGGAGCAAGTGTAGTGGTTCTACATTAGCAACTGTGAACACAGGGTCAGCCTTAATGGAGCCCTTTCCCACTTGTTCGTTTTTTGTTTTTGTTTTGTTTTGCTTGGTCCAAACCTTGTCCATTGGCAAATGTTTGTTAGAATTGGCTTCCATCTTGTCTTGTTGAGCTGTGGGGTGGCACTCCTCTGGCCTGCTTCAAGCCCTGGCCCCTCAATATTATTCCGGTTTCGCTGGGCTCCTACAAGGGCCAAGTGCAGGCAGCTGCAGCCGTGCCAGGAATTAGTCTTCCTCGTGCCCCCTCGTCACGATGGCTCGCAGAAGTCCGAGGGTGGGCAGGGGTGTGGGGGCCATGCCAGCCGCCACACACATCGCTAGCCAGACTTCTGCAGGCCCTGTGTTCTCCAGTAGCTCCTGCGTGCAGTGCCGATGTTGGAAGTGGGCTCAAAGCCTGACGCTGCACTTCCCAACAAGGGCTGAGCGTCAGGAGCACCTGCTGGCAAACTCTGACTCGGAGCTGTGGCGGAGGGCCGCTGTCTCCACGCTTCCCCAGGCTCCTTAAGTGACGCTCACAGCACCCCCAGTCAAGGACCACTGAACCAAAGAACTGGGATTCTGCATGTTTCACATGTCAGATAACTGTGTGCGTGCGTGGGGCTGGGGGAGGGAGAGCGCAGGGAAGTGGGAGGAGCAGTCATGCATCCTTGCAGCCGTGCGGTGTCCGGGCTCGGCCTTCGCCTGTCCTCGCACAGCTACCTCTCCAGAGACAAGGTCAGCCGGGGCCTGTGTGCGCCCCCAGCCCGCAGTCTCAGCGGCGTCTGAGCACTCCTGCTGTGACATTCACATCCACAGGCACCTTCTCACTTGCTTTTGTGTTGCCTTGGAGCCAGCCACCCCCACAGGCCACCCAGGCCTCTGCCTCCTGTGCTGCTGTCCCAGCCAGAACCCTGTCTTTGAAAGGATGGCTGCCCATGCCCCTTGTCAGGTGACTGGAGGTCCTGCCCCTGGCCAGAGTCCCGGGGACACACGGAGCCTACAGAGCCCTTTTTTCCCTCCCTCTCCGTCTGTTCTTGTTCTGTTGCTTTTGTCTGGCTCCCTGGGAGCTCCTGGGAGCCCTGTGTCTGTCCAACGAGGCCTGATAAGCCCCGCCAAGCAGCCAGGGCTGGCCTCCTGCCGGGCCACAATGCACTTCACTGAGCAGACCTCACCTCTGGCCACAGAACCGCTGGGTTGCCATGACAACGGGGGGTAGCTTGTGCCCCCCCCCCCAGTCCCCTGCCCCAGCCTCCTTTCCCACATCCTTGCAACAGGCTCACACATACTGGCGCCACTCACTGACCCTTCCTCCCCATGGAGCAGCTTTGTCTTGATCAGAAAAGAGCGGCTTGACTCAGCTAGGAAAGCAACGCCACTCTTCCCCTTAAAACCCTGCAGTCTCCCATCTCTGGCGACCAAAGGCCTTGCTAAGGCCTGCCAGCTCCTACGTGCTCCCGCCTCAATTCCCCAATGACCTCCGCTCTCACCACGCTCTCCCGTATCCACCACCCCAGGCGCACTGGCCCCATCACTGCCACGGGCCAGGCGCAAGGCCTACTCCACGTTCCCAGGGGGACCCACGGCCTTGCCACAGAAGGCCCGGCCACCCCGGCCATCACCCCTCTCTTCTGCCCAGCTGCCCACTAAGCCCAGCTGCCCACTAAGCCCATGCGCCTGCCTCTGCCATCAGATGAGAGGCCCCTCTTTGTCCCATTCCCCCAGCCAGTGGCCACAGAGCAGGACTTAACAGAATTCCCCGGGGGGGGGGGAGCAAAAGGAGAAGCAGCTTCCCAGGTGTCCATTTTTAGCATCTGGAAAACAGAGTCCCAGGAAAGGGACTTTCAGTCCATTGAAGGCTCTAAGCAATGGGTTTGATGCGCAGATATGCCCTTCCTCCATCATGTCTGACACCTGCCAGCACACACAGATGGCTGGAGTCTCAAGAACGCATGGGGGAGATACAGAGAGCGGCAGGCTGCAGCCCCGTCCTCCATCGTGACCCGTGCCCATGGCCCCGGGGAACTGAGGGCACCATGACAGGCAGTCAGCCTCATCAGGGCTGGTGACGTGCACCAAACACAGGCAGGCACGGTCTTAGCCCTGCCTGCTCATCAACAGTACCTGCCCTAACGGTGCCTTTTGCAAGGTGGCGATCAGTGGGACAGCCACAGCCACAGCCACAGCCACAGCCGCAGCGGGAAGTGGAAACCAGGGGACAGGATTCTGAGGCCAGGCAACTCAGTGCCTCCACTGGTGCAGAGAAAGATGGGGGGCAGTCCAGTGAGGCCCGTCCTGGGAAGGGGACGGGCAGAGGAAAGGAGTGAGCTGAACAGGAAGGTATCAGCAGGGATGGGGGGAGATGTCCCCTGCAGGGACAGCCAGGGAGCATAGTCCTGGAAGCCCCTCCCTCCCCTTCCCCTCCCCCCCCTCTCTTTTTCTCTCTCCCTCTCTTTTTTTCTCTCCCTCTCTTTTTCTCTCTCCCTCTCTCTCTCTCACTTGCTCGTTCACTCTCACGCTCAGCGAGCAGAGGGCGCCCTCCAGAGGCCCCAGCAGGGATCCACAAGTTTCCCTTTCATCTTGGGATGCACTTGAACTCCAGCCCTAAACATCGCACTCTCCCTCTGACCCTCCTCCTTCGAGTTACCTACCGGCACCTTCCTCCCGCAGGCATCTCGGAACACACGGCTGTGCCCCCGGTGCCGGACCCGCGGGAAGAGACGCTGCGCTCCCAGCTGGAGGAAGAAAAGACCAGGTGCCTTTCCCTCGGGCCAGCACAGCCAGGGGCGTCAAGGACGGCCTGGAGCTGTCCAGGGCAGGGCAGAGTGGTCAGCCCCCAGCCCAGAGCCGGAACAACTTGGGGAAGTGAGTTCAGCGGCTGGATGCTAAAACCGTGTGAAATGAGCAGGCAGCGTGAGACAGGGGCGGCCAGGAAGGGTGAGGGTGGGGTGCTCCACGCAGGAGGCCAGGCAGGCCCCGGCGGCGGCTGCGCTTGTCTACTGCTGCCACCTAGTGGAGCCCAAAGGCATGACCACGGTGGTGCTCACCCACAGCTTTCCTGAGAAGTGCAGACCCTCAGGGTCTCAGCAGGCCCTTCTACCTTCCCAGTGCCTGGGGGGCAGGGCAGCGCTGCCAGGCTTCTGCGACACAGGCTCTGTCCCTGGTGTGCTCGTACAAGGCAGCTGTAGTGAGGCGGTCACTTGGCACTGTTTGGGACTCCACTTGGGACACCCAAATCCCAAACAACATCACCTGTTTTGAGTCCCGGCTCCACTTCCTATCCCAGCTTCCTGATAATGCAAACCCTGGGAGGTGGCAGAGTGCTTGGAACCCTACCACCCGCACGGGACACCCACGTAGGATCCTGACTCTATGCTGTGGCCTGGCTTAGCCTCAGCTGTTGCAGGCATCTGGGGAGTGAACCAGCACATGGAAGATCTCTCGCTCACTGTCTCTGTCACTCTACCTCTCATGTGGATAAAAACCGTAACTATCTGGGGGAAAAGAGGCAGTAGTAGCAAATCTTCTGATTCCACTGCAGGTACAAAACAATGTTCACGCGCCTGAAAGCCCTGAAGGTGGAGATCGAGCACCTGCAGCTGCTTATGGACAAGGCCAAGGTGAAGCTGCAGAAACAGTTTGAAGCCTGGTGGGCAGAGGAGGCCAGCAGACTACAGGTGCGGTGTGGGTGCGGGTGCAGTGTGGGTATGGTGAGGGTGCGGGTGTGGGTGCAGGTGCAGAGCAGATGTGGGTGCAGTGTGGGTATGGTGAGGGTGGGGTGCAGGTATGGTGAGGGTGAGTGTGCAGGTGCGGGTACGGTGAGGGTGTGGGTGCAGGTACAGTGAGGGTGCGGGTATGGGTGCAGAGCTTCTGGGCAGCTGGGCTGGGCTGTGGAGTCAGGGAAGAGTGGGCCAGCGCCCACTCTTGTACTTGTCTGCAGAGCAAGGAACGCAAACTAGCAGGTGTCCATTGTGTCCTTGCTGTGCTGCCTACAATAACCACCTGACACGTGGAAAGATGGGGGTGCAAGAGGGGGCTTTGCCACTGCTGCTCTGTGTAGTGTTCTCTAGTGATATCATATTGACTGTCACTGTGGATTCGTTCTGAGAGGAGGAGCGCGGTGAAGGCAAGAGGTGCAGAGTCACCACACAGACCCCGGGAGTCAGGTGAAGGTGGGCCAGAGGCGAGCAGCCCACAGACTCGTTTATTTCAGTTGGTACAGTAGCTTATATAGCCGAGGCAGCCAATCTGGTCAAGGGGCAGTTTATGCCCTAACCAATCACAGCCTGTTGCCAGGCAGTTTCTGAAGCCACCCAATCACAGCCTGTTGCCAGGCAGCCTCCGTTGCTATGTGGTTTCCAAAGCCATCCAATCATAGCCTGTTGCCAGGCAGGCTCCATTGCCAGGTGGGTTCCAAAACCATTCCTGAATAACTGACGCCATCTTGACATGGCCTTCTCATTCCACCACAATTGACTTTTTTTTTTAATTTTGGCATCATATATATATATATATATAGGCATATGGATTATAGAAATTTTAAAAAACATAGAAAGCACAAAAAAGAAAGTAACAACCACCTTAATCCCTCCACTTAAGGATAGCCAGTATCATCATGTTTGCTTTCATTATTGTATCTTTTTTTAAAAAAAGATTTTATTTATTTGAGGGGTAGAGTTACAGACAGAGAGAAGCAGAGACAGAGAAAGGACTTCCATCTGCTGGTTCACTCCCTAAATGGCCACAATGGCTGGAGCTGGGCCTCATCCAGGTCTCCCATGTGGGTGCAGGGGCCCAACCACTTGGGCCATCTTCTGCTGCTTTCCCAGGCCATAAGCAGAAAGCCAGATCTGAAGAGGAGCAGCCAGGACTCGAACCGGTGCCCAGCATGGGATGCTGGCACCACAGGCAGCGGCTGAGCCTACTGCACCACAGCGTGGGCCCCATAGTGTATCTTTTTTCCATGCATACATATTGTTTTATAAACATAAAGTGATACTGGGTTTCAAGTAGGAGAGCATTTCACAAGGTTCATGGAAATGGAATTAAAAAATAAATTTGCTTTGGTGCAAAAAATGTTTTAAATCCATGCATGTGTGTGGTCTTCAAAAAATTCATGGAAATATGTATTATGAAAACACTGCATGGATTTCAAAAAAATGTGCACCAGAACAAGCATCTTTCAACTGCATTTTTCCGCCAACTTTTTGAATTAGCCTCATATCTCAGATGGCTTTTTCTTCCCCCTGGCTCTCTTTCCCTCTCACTCCCCTACGTCATTCTGACGGCTGTTTCTATTCCATCGAACGACTGCATTGTAATTATAGCTGATCTGCTGTTAAATATTTAGGTTGTTGTTAGTTTCTCACTCAAAACATATCTGCAGACTGATTTCTGCATATTTCCTAGACAAGCGCCCAGACGTTCCCTGCAATGTCACGAGGGCTGAAACAGCCTGTTAGTGTTTGCTTCAAAGAAAGCAACCTGTTAAGAAGTGTCAGTGTGAAGCCCTGGCTCAGGCTGCCCCTGTGAGGCTCCCGGGCAGTGTATGAGGGAGACGATGAAGTACGGAAACTCGCCTCTCCCTCCCCCTGACTTCACAAGCCGAGACTTCACTTCAAGGACAAGGAAGAGGAGAGGCAGGGAAGATATTTGCCCCAAGATGCATAGCGGAGCAATGCTAGTGTGTTCCCAAGCGGGCCCACGGAGAAGGCCACTGGATAAGAGTAAATATCAAGGATAATAATGAAAACCAGATAGACTGGGATGACATCAAAATAGTTTAAATGCAAAGTTAGGGGATAATATGTGCCCCACTTTAAAAATATATAAAGCAGTGAGGTCTAGGGGGCTTACTATCGGGGAAATGTGATCCCTGTTTGCCGCAATGTCAGAGGAATAGTAACACAGTATCTAGAGATTCCTGTGCTGAGATGGTTTAAGAGAACACGCTTGGTTTCTGTTGGTGATGAGGTCACAGGTACTGCCGGTGCTCCTGGGTTTGTTGTCTGCACTTGTTAATGTCAGGTATGAGGCGGGGGATGTCCTTGGTTCCCATCCACGCCCCAGCGCACCTAGGTTCTCTCTGGACTCCAGGTGCAGAGCCTTCAGGTCAGCAGGGAGGGGAGCCTTCAGCCACAGCAGGTGTCTGAGGGAGGTCAGCCACTGAGTGGTAGCCTGGGAGCCGTCCACTGTGGCTCAGAAAGGGTCCAGGCAAGGCTGAGCCAGTCTTGTTTGTTCCTTAACATCAACAGTGAGAGATAGAGTAGCCACAGGTGGCCATTGCACCTGTCCCCAGTCCCACAGGGTGTCACCGAAACAAAAGGGACCCTGATGACAGCCCCAGGGGGAGCAGGACACTCGGTCTCAGAGCAGCCAGTCCTTTGCTGCCCCTAACAGTTTTACAGCTTGCAGAGCCACCCACAGGGGACTGGGCAGCAAGTCCCATAGCTCAGCAGAGCATGGGAGGTGATGAGCACATGCCTGGCGCCAGCCTCCTGGGAAGACGGCGCAGTGGGTGGGAATCTCCTGAGAGCTACTGCTCCACAGCGTCCTGCGCTCTCGCCCCAGGGGCACCACAGGGCCTCCAGCTGCTGAGCTCTGCTCCGGGCTAGGCGGGCCGCTGAGGATACCCACGGTGCTCCTGGGGTCTCTCCTGACTCCGGTAGGGGGCTCCAGAACAAGAAGGAGCAAAAGCAGGAATGACTCCTGGAGAACTGTCAGATAACTTTTAAACATTTTTTTCCCCTGGTGGAGATGTTTGGTGCACTGGTTAAGACGGCGTTGCACATCAGAGTGCCTGGGTCTAGTCCTGGTTCCTCTGCTTTGATCCAGCTCCAGCCCCCTGCCACTGTGCACCCTGGGAGGCAGCCACCCATGTGGGAGACCCAGATTGAGCGCTGGGCTCCTGGCTTCATCCTGCTGCAGACATGGCTGTTTCTGGCATCCTGGGAGTGAACCAGCTGATGGAAGACCGCGCTCTCTCTTTCTCTCTCTCTCTCCATCTTTCTGCCTTTCAAATAAAAATAAAAATTAATAAATTGATTAAAATAATTTTCTAGCGACAGAAAGTATGCACAGGATGGCCCAGAAGGTAAATCAAGCATTACCCATAATGCTTCCTAAGGTGATAGCGTGATGCCTGTCACGGTGGCCAGTCTCGCGACTGCACCTGTTTCCCGCCAGCTCGGACGACCCGCTTTCTCCCCCTGAGAAATGCGTGCTCAGATGTCCTCAGGTCCAAGCTGACATTGTGACGCTGCTCGGGCCCACAGGCAGATTCGCCGGCAGTGAATTCAGTGGATCACGCGAAGCCGTGTCTGCAGGTGTCTGAACCCCAGCGCGAGCGGTCCTGCCTGCCCGTTGCCACCGCGAGGTAAGGCCCCGCCCCTCCAGCAGCGTCTGCCTGCCCCACTCCTCCGCCCGCCCTAGCTGCCCTCAGTGTGCGTCCAAGAAGATGAATTCTTTGTAGTGTGTACTTAGTCATCGGTCCCAAGCCAGGGGCTTGCGAGCTAGCTGAGGCGCAAACCCCTCTCAGCCCTGTTGCCGTGGTGATAGAGACGGGAGGTTTCCCCCTGGCCCTGCCCTGGACTCAGAAGACGAGGTTGGCGGCAGAGAGGGGGCCCAGCCTGGGAGACGGAGGGGTTTGGAGCAGCACAGGGAGGTGGTTGGCCTGCCAGGGTGCAGGGGAGCACCTGTGGAGGACTGTCCAAGCAAGGGTGTGGGCAGCCGCCCCGTCACCCCACGGGGATGGCCAGAGCTGGGTCCCCTGGGTGTGGGGGTGGTCCAGCAGGGACCCCATGTCCCTGTCCAACCACACAGCCAGGTGGCAGTGGAGCCAGTGGCTCCTGCCATCCTCCGAACCTTAGACTCGGGACAGTGGGGCCTCACTCTCTGCCCCGAGGAGCTGGCCTTTCTTAGGGTATGAAGGGGCATTGAGCTCCAACATCGGAAATGTGAAACAAAGCTTTTAAAGAACGTGCTGGGGAGGCCAGCGCTATGGTGTAGTGGGTAAAACCACCACCTCCACTTACGATCCAGCTCCCTGCTAATGCACCTGGGAAAGGTGCTTGGGCCCCTGCACTTCACATGGGAGACCCGGATGGAGTTCCTGGCTCCTGCCTTCTGTCTGGCCAAACCCTTCATCCATTTGGATTGAAGATTCTCTCTCTCTCTCTCTCTCTCTCTTTCTGCCTCACCCTTTCCCTTTCCCTCTCTGTAACTCTGCCTTTCAAACAAATAAAATAAATATTTAACAAAATAAAAGCATGTGCCAGTCTGATGAGTGAGGACAGCTCTTCCTCCCAGCACCGTGCCATCCTGGGCAGGGATGTCCTGCGAAACTCCTGGCCGGGCCTGCCAGAGTTGCCAAGGTCCTTGCCAGCGAGGAGAGCCCGGGAATCTGGCACAGCCCAGGGAAACCCAGGCAGACGTGACGCACCGTGGGGTCCTGGGTGAGACCCTGCTGGCCGTTATTCCTGAAATATTCCCATTCAAGCTGACCCCTGCCTGGGCGTGCCCAGAAACCTCCACGCCACAGCTCCGAGCCTTGGGTGGCAGGGGGCCATCCCGGGCCATCCCGGGCTCCCTCCACGGCACCTTCTCGGCCTGGGCTTTGCCAGGAACCCAGCTCCCCGGCCTCCTCCAGGCTGGTTTCCCACGTCACCTGTAGGAAACACCAGGTGCCCGTGACTCCGTCACGCTGTGAGTAGCTACGTGTGGCAGAGCCCAGCCGGTTTTTCCCACTGCAGCCCCGGGGAGGCAGCCCTTGGTGGAATCGCACAGGGCTCAGGAAGCCTCACGCTCAGGCCCCGAGGCCATGCACTAACTGCTCTGATTGGCAGCCCAAGAGGCCTAAGTATTATTAAAGCTGCTAATTAGTCCTGATTAAGAGACAGATCATTCATGCTGATGGCTGGAGTGTGCTCTCTCCGGGACAGTGAATTCTGAGTCACAGGCTGCTTGGGCAGAAACAGAGGGCACGAGTCAGCCGTGGCACCTTTCCTAGGCTTTCAGGAACTGAACTCAGGCCTCCAGGGATGCTGGAGCAGCCCAGAGGTCAGGGAGTCACCTCCCTCGGGAGCCCCAAGCCTTCACATTGCATCCTCTGGCGCGAGCTGATTGAGGTGACAGGCCGGGCAGCTGGGCCTGTGCAGGGGCTGGGCGTCTGCCCTGGTCCTGCCCGTCTCTTCTCCTCTCCCACGGGCTCCCAGCTGTCAACAGTTTGGCACCTGTGAACTCCGCACGGGGAACCACTGAGTCAGCCATGTGTGCGCCAGTGCCTTACTCTTGCAGACTTGCTGCTGCTCCCAAACAGCCCCTTACCCACTAGGATCCAAGCCCCTGCAGGATGAAAAGCCCGTTCTCCTTCCCGGTCCAGATCTGCAGCAAGATCTGCCATCAGTATTGGCAGATATCCTGAGGATGGCCCCGGTTCCCCCAAGGACAAGCGTGCGGAGCCTGCCACCTTGTGGCTGCCTCTGGCCATGCAGCAGCCCTCCCCAGACCTGGCGCAGGCGCCTGCCATGCAGACCTGCAGACAGAGTCTCTGGACTGCTGGGAAATGGATCTAGAGCAGCAGGTTAAGGCAATGCTGACATCTCCCCTATGAGCACTGGTTCAAGTCCCAACTACTCCATTTCCCAATGCAGCCCCCTGCTAATGCACCTGGGAAAGTGGCGTAAGATGACCAAAGTCCTTGGATCCTGGAACCCAAGTGGGAGGCCCAGAAGCTCCTGGCTCCTGGCTTCAGCCCTGGCTACATGGGGAGTGAACCAACAAATGGACGATATATCCTCTTCTCTCTCTCTCTCTCTCTCTCTCTCTCTCTCTGTATCTCTCCTTCTCAAATAAACAAATCAGTCTTTAAAAGGAAGGCTCCAACCAGCTGAGGTCTCAGGCCTCTTCCAGCTCTGACAGTGTCTGGAGGCAGGCCCAGGCCATAGCAAGGAAGACGGCCCCATCACTAGGTCCTTACAGCACGACATGGAGCGGCTGAAACTGACACCCACCTCTTTACCGCCCAAGTGGTGGTGGGGCTCCCTGGATGCAGCCAGAAATCCTTGGCAGGGCACAGGCGTGAGGCAGTGTGGGGAGGTCGGAGCGGTGATGAGTGGCTGGCTGGGACTCCTCCCTCAGAGCACGCCGCTGTCCCGTCCCCAGTGAGAGCACCTTCCTGGCTGCCACACACCCCTTTCTTGGGCTCCAGGCTCTTCCTGTCCTCACCAGGGGCTCTCATCTAAGCCCGGCAGCCTCCCACAGCCCAGGCTCCGTCACCATCACACTGGGGTTCAGGATTCAGTCGGTAACAAATCCTCAGTACGGTTAAGCCCTGGCTCTCTCTTCTTCACACCTCCTCACACCCCTTGTGCTCTTGTTGGTTTGTCTGCAGTGTCGTCAGTGCCCGGAGGATCGCGCCCTCACCCTGCGCCAGCCTGCACAGCCAGGAGCTGGGCGGCAGCAGCACCCCCGGAGAAGGCAGGTGCGTGGTCTTGCCCTCCCTCTGACAACCGTCACAGCCCTGCAGTGGAGGGAGCCGCCTACAGGGAAGGCCTCCTTCCACTCACCACCCAAGGAGTCCTTGTCCAGTAGGACTGGGAACAGCCTAGACACTCCCATGCATCTTCCCACTCCCACAAAGAACCTTCTCCCAAGGTCTCGGGCGCCTTTGCTGGAGCCGAGCGTTGCTTCCCAGCTCCTTGTGGATGGAGACATTTGGAGGCACAATAAGGAGAGAAGAGGCTGCACCCCCACCCCCAACAAGCTCCCTTCAGATCCCGCACAGGCTGCTAGCCCTTGGCAGAAGCTGAGCGGACATGGCTGGCCTCAAGGCCCATGAGCCATTAGCTTCTCGCATCTGGGTTGAAAGAAGGTTGCTCGGGCCTCTCTCCAGCCCAGGCGCCAGTACCCTACCTGGAAGGCCTGTTCAGGCTCCTGCTTGCCTGGCAGCACGCCCCAAACCCCCACTGGGACACCCAGTAGCAGCCCTCTCCCCAGTACGCTCCCACCATCCTGCCGCGTGGAACAAAGTGCGATGGGGAAGACTGGCAGGGCCCGGCAAGTGTGCTGCTCTGGATCTCCTCACGGGTGGTGCAGGAGGAGGAGGGGAAGGGGAAGGGACACACCCCCACCCCCACCCCCGTGGGGGGCATTTCCCGAAAGTCCCACTCGGGCTCATTGGCTGGAACCAGGTCACCTGGCCACACGCGGCAGCAAAGGTGTCATGACAACTTAGCCCCCTAAATAGGGTCTGACTATAGGGAGAGTCGGGAGTATGGGAATCTGGGCGGGGGGTGGGGGGCAGCCTGCTGGAGGAGACCCGGCCTAGAAAAATGGGATAGGTCAGGGAGGGGTTGGGGAGAGGGCGAGAGGAGCACATTCAGCTATGGAGAGACGTAGTGGGAGAGCAGTCCACAGAGAGGAAGCAGCTGCCACTTGGCTGCAAGGAGCCCGCCTGCTCCAGTACCAGGGGGCAGGGCAGGGTGGCTGGAACCGGGTGACCCGCAGCCAGGTCACGGAGGAGCTGCTGAGGCCCAGGACAGAGTTTGGGTTGTATTCCAAGAGTGAGGGGAAGCCACGGGAGGGTTTAAGGCCATAACCCTTGCGTGACCTGATGGCGGGCGGGAGGGGAGGAGGAGGAGGCCAGCGGGGTCACTCACTTCCGGGCGAGGCCCTGGCACTGAAAACGGAAAGTCCAGGTGGGAAGCTAAGTGCCGGGTCCACCCCTGAGGCGCAACCAAATGCGACCTGTGACTGTCCCCAGCACCCCCAGGAGACCGATGTCATCCATCCCCCTCACCGGGGACAGCCAGACGGACTCGGACATCCTGGCCTTCATCAAGGCCAGGCAGAGCATCCTGCAGAAGAAATGTAAGTGCACCCCAGGGGCCCTCGGCGGGGGGGCAGGCCCTGCTCGCCAGTACGCGGGCAGACATGGCAGCCATTGCCGGGGGGGGAGGGGTGGCGGAAGGCTGTGGAGGAGGAAGCAGGCAGCTTCCTGCGTGTTCCCAAAGCTGCGCACTGGCCTTCCGGTCACTTCACACCGACCTGGCCTCTGCTTCTCACGGCAAAAGCCCCCAGGGGCAGCCCCAGAAACAGCAAGCTGGCCAGGGCCACCCCTCGGGACAGGGCTGTGGCTCCCTCTTGTGCATCTACAAGCCCTGTCCCCAGAGGCAGCGCTGTCCTTGGCCCGGCCCCTGGGTCGGGAAGGGCTGAGGGCAGCTCGGGTCATCTGCTGAATCCGAGGCTGGCCTCGCCATCCTGGGGGACGTAAACAGCACTTGAGGAACAATCCTGGGCAGTAAGTGTGGCGTGCCAGGCCTCAGGAAGAGGAGGAGCCTTCCCGGCCTGCGTCACCAGCCGGGCCCCCTCCTCTTGGTGGCCACCCAGCCCCCACCTGCTGTGGCCAGGCCTCTCCTGCTACCTTCCCGCCCCCAGACACCTGCAGGGTCCCTCAGCCCAGCCCTGCATTTGGTCTTAGCCTCCTCCCAATAATCCAAGGCTACCAGACAGGCCCAGCATGGCCTCCATGCTCCAAAAAGCTGTCCTCTCCTGATGGCATGACATGGTGGCTGTCCTCTGCCCCAGGGGCCCAGCCACGGCCTCTCCACCAGCATCTGTGGTCCAGAGGGAAGGGACTTGCATGCTGGTGGTGCCCCCAGCTTTTGCGTGCTGGCCAGCACTGTATTTCCTGGGTACTGTCTGTGCACCAGGCACCTGGGAAACAGCCGGGAAGGGACAGCCAAGCCCTTGAGAAACTGGCATGCTGGGCGGAGGAAGGGGACAGGCAGTGACCCCAGCAGGTGGCCAGATGGCTTGAGGGCCTAATAAGTGTGCTGCTGTGGACAACACGGCGATGCTGTCGGCTGAGGGGAAGGGGAGGCCCCTCTGGAGAGAGAGGTGAGGCGGCCTCTCTGTGCGCTGGGCCCTGGGTGGGGGAGGGGGCAGGAGCTCGGTGTGGTCACCAGGCGGGAAGGAGGCTAGAGGGGCTGGAGGGCCGGGAGGGATGTGCATGGCCCAGACTGACCGCTGGAGAGCCAGGGCACCTGCTGGGCTCTCCACCCAGTGGCTAAGAGGATGGCAGTGCTGCTCGCTGAAACGAGAAAGGCGGGAAGAAGCGGGTGTCAGGGAGCAGCTGGAAGCTGGAGCGTGGTCAGCCAGTCGCGAGTTGCAGATGACCATGAGGAGACGCTGAGCAGACACAGAGGAGGGCCAGGGCTAGAGAGAGAGGGAGATGAGCAGGAAAGCCACAGGACCAGCGGCCAGCCCCGCCGCGGAGGAGCTCCGAGGTGCTCTGGCTGACACCAGCTCCCGGGGCCTCCCACACGTAGTGCAGGGCAGAGGTGAGCTATGAGAGACGGAGCAGTCAGTCCCTGGATTCCAGTGCCACCGAGAGGCCGGCCGGTGAGGAAGGAGGGAGCATTTGTGCACACCCCGGTGGACAAGGATGGGGCGCGCCTTGGGCAGGGAGCTGGGAGAGGGGAGGAAGCTGGGGTGGAGAGCAGAGGCGGCTGTTCCAGGTAGCAGAGCTGCCCAGAGGAGCAGGGGACCAGGGCAGAGCCGAGGGCAGCCGGAGGCCGAGGGGGAGGGCTTGTTTGCTTTCACTGGGGACCAGGAAGGCGCCTGCCTGTTTGTGTGGGGCCAGGGTGGAGTGGGGAGGCAAAACCCAAGGTCTATGTCAGAAGAGTGTCTTTTTTTTTTTTATTTAGTAAATATAAATTTCCAAAGTACAGTTAATGGATTACAATGGCTCCCCCCCATAATTTCCCTCCCACTCACACCCCTCCCATCTCCTGCTCCCTCTCCCATTCCATTCACATCAAGATTCATTTTCAATTATTTTTATATACGGAAGATCAATTCAGTATATATTAAGTAAAGATTTCATCAGTTTGCACCCACACAGAACATAAAGTGTAAAATACTGTTTCAGTACTAGTTATAGCATTACTTCACATTGGACAACACACTAAGGACAGATCCCACATGAGAAGTAAGTACACAGTGACTCCTGTTGTTGACTTAACAATTTGACACTCTTGTTTATGGCATCAGTAATCTCCCTAGGCTCTAGTCATGAGTTACCAAGGCTATGAAGCCTTTTGAGTTCAGCGACTTCAATCTTATTCCAACAGGGTCATAGTCAAAGTGGAAGTTCTCTCCTCCCTTCAGAGAAAGGTACCTCCTTCTTTGATGGCCCGTTCTTTCCACTGGGATCTCACTCACAGAGATCTTCCATTTAGGTCTTCTTTTTTTGTTTGTTTTTTTCCAGGGTGTCTTGGCTTTCCATGCCTAAAATACTCTCAGAGCCCATGAGAAGAGTGTCTTTTTTAAAAAAGATTTATCCATTTATTTGAGAGGTAGAGTGATGGGGGGCGGGGAGAGATCTTCCATCCATTGGGTCACTCCCCCCAAATAGCCACAACGGCCAGGGCTGGGGAGCTAGGAACTCCATCCGGGTCTCCCACATGGGTTGCTGGGGCCCAAGCACTTAGCCATCTTCCTTTGCCTTCCCAGGCACATTGGCAGGTGGCTGGATCAGAAGCTGAGCAGCTGGGACCCTAACAATACAGACCAAGGGCTCCATCTCCTAAAGTGATCGGAGTAGGCATGGCACCTGGCCTGTCATGCCACTGTCAGCCCTGAGCTGGAGCATTCATTCCCAGCCCCAGCCCATCACCACCACCTGTGGTGTCGGTGCCTGTCAGCCAGGGACAGGCCTGACCCAAGCTGCTTGTCCCTGGTGCAGCCACATCACCGAAGGTCCCCACTGGGCAAGAGAGACGAAAGCCCTGACTGCATTGGAAACACCCGCCCCACCTGCAGAGACCCTGACTCAAGGCATCAGGCTTTCTGAAGGCTCCCCAGGGGGTCCTAACGTGCAGCAGAGCTGGGACTGGGGCCCAGGGCGACCGGAACTCCTGCCCTGCAGAAGTCTGGTGCACCTGTTCTCTGCCTGTGTGCTCTAGGGCTCTGTTAGGACAGGTCGGGGTGTCAGAAACGAGGAGCAGCCTGGGGTCTGGCACACTGCATCAGATCTGCAGTGCCAGGCCTGGTTCCACCCTCTTCCCCCCTGCCATCTCCCTCGCTCCGTGTCCCCAGGCTCATGGTCCCTCCTCAGCAGCACCAGGCAGACTGCATCAGCCTGAAAAAAGCATCGCCACAAAATGCCTGGGACAACTAGCTGTATAGAGAGAAAGGGCTCATTGAGCTCATAGCGCTGGAGGTTCAAGTCCAAGATCAGGGGCCCCCGCCCCCACTGCCTTGGCCTCTGTCGAGGGCAGTGGATGGTGGGGTGGTTGGGAGTGGCAGGGCGCTCTGTGTGGAGGAGGGACCACCTGGTGAGGCAGGAAGCAGTGAGAGTGGCTGGGCCCCCCTCAGGCTTTCACAATCAGCCTTCTCGTAAGACCTCCCTCTGAGGACACACACCTGCAACTAGGCCCACTCCCTGAACTCCATAATCAGACAGTTTCCACCCTCTTGGTGCCATTCACATATGACCTTGGAGTTTAAGCGTCTGTGCAAAGTACCAAATCGTGTTCAAGCCACAGCACAGCCAAGTCCACCCCCACGCCCTATGCTGAGTTCCCTGGGCCACACCTGGATGGCTGCAGCTACCCCTCCCCTCCATTCTTCAGCCAGCCTCACCCCTCTAATCTCTCTGCCCACTGCAGTGAGTGTTTTGTTTTGTTTTTTAAAGATTTTATTTATCTATTTGAGAGGTAGGATTACAGACTGAGAAAAAGGCCTTCCATCTGCTGGTTCACTCTCCAACTGGCCACAATAGCCAGAGCTGTACCGATTTGAAGCCAGGAGCCAGGAGCTTCTTCCAGGTCTCCCACGTGGGTGCAGGGGCCCAAGCACTCAGGCCATCTTCCACTGCTTTCCCAGACCATAGGCAGAGAGTTGGATCAGAAGTGGAGCAGCAGGGACACAAACCGGCGCCCGTATGAGATGCCGGTGCTGCAGGCAGAGGCTTATCCTACTGCACCACAGCGCTGACCCTTGCAATGGATTTTTTTTTTTTTTGACAGGCAGAGTGGACAGTGAGAGAGAGAGACAGAGAGAAAGGTCTTCCTTTGCTGTTGGTTCACCCTCCAATGGCAGCCGCGGCCGGCGCGCTGCGGCCGGCGCACCACGCTGATCCGATGGCAGGAGCCAGGTACTTATCCTGGTCTCCCTTGGGGTGCAGGGCCCAAGCACTTGGGCCATCCTCCACTGTACTCCTGGGCCACAGCAGAGAGCTGGCCTGGAAGAGGGGCAACCAGGACAGAATCCGGCGCCCCGACCGGGATTAGAACCCAGTGTGCCGGCACCACAGGCGGAGGATTAGCCGAGTGAGCCGCGGCGCCGGCCTGCAATGGATTTTGAAAATTGTATTCATGATGTCACCCAAAAACCACAAAAATTCCCTTTTGCTCTTAATCTAGCAACCAAATTTAAGCAAGTTGATTGCATATCATTCATACCAGTTCTCACAATTTAATGTGCCAGTGACTCTAAGAATTTTGTGAAAATGCAAATTCTGATCCAGTAAGGCTAGAGTGGAGTCCAAGACCTTGCATTTCTTAACAAGTTCCAGGAGATGCCAATTCTGGTGGTCCACGGACCACACTTTGAGAAGCAATGAGCTGTGTCAGCTACGTTGCTTTTCCAGGGCACCTGTCTGCACCAGCAGTTTAGAAATGAGGATACGAGGGTCAGGAAACTGACATGATTGGCCCAAAGCCACACCACGTGTTGGGAATTGTCCTGGTGAGAACTTGAGGGCTCTGGTTCTCAATCCAGAGAATCCTCCTCTGCACATGGCCATGGAAGACAGCAGGTGGGGAGGGACCACGTGGTAAGGAGGGGCCATCCTGAAAAGCAATATCTAAAGCAAAAGCAAGGGCAGGGCTGGCGCTATGGCATACTGGGTAACACTGCCCCCTGCAAATGCAGGCATCCCATATGGGCGTTTGTTTGTGTCTCAACTGCTCCATTTCTAGTCCAGATCCCTGCTAATGGCCTGGGAAAGCAGCAGAAGATGGCCCAAGTGCTTGGGGCCCTGCACTCACATGGGAGACCCAGATGAATCTCCTGGATCCTGGCTTTGGCCTGGCCCAGCTCTGGCCATTGTGGCCATTTAGGGAGTGATGGAAGATTTTCTTTCTCTCTCTCTCTCTCTCTCTCTCTCTCTTTCTCCCCCTCTCCCTCCCCTTTTCCCTCTCCCTCTCCCTCTCCCTCTCCTTCTCCCTCTCCATAACTCTTTCAAATAAATAAACAAATCTTAAGGCTAAAAAAAAAGCAAGGAGATACTCTATTAGAGAATTAAGTAGGAATGTCAGTGAAAACCATGGGTTTGGAAGTATGAGTGTTTATCCCAGCTCAGGGAGATGAAACATTGCCAAGAGCAAAGAAAGCCATATTCGTCCAGACTTCAGGGAGTGAAGGTGGCCCGTGGGAGGCAGGACTAAGGAATGCTGTGCCCAAGGCCCAGGGGGCCTCCTGTCTTCTCCGTTCAATCCCAGGGAAACTCAGAGCCTGCTGCAGGAACAGCCTAACCAAGAGCCTCCTGTCTCCTTCCAGGTTTGGGAAGCAACTGAATGTCGACAAGAGTCCAGCAGGGCTCTGCACCAACTGTGCCACTGCACTCCAGCTTCAGAAGTGGGCTATGGGCTGCTGGCTGCCTGGAGAAGCTTGCAACCTTGACTCCAGGAGGGGTTTTGTTTCCTTAGGGATGTTGTCCTGGAGGCCACCAGAGAGACTGAGCCAAGGCTGACCGCGACCTCCTTCCTGCGTTACCGGAGCTTTTGGCGGGGCCACGCAATGCCAGGGTGCTGGGTGGGGGGAGGGGTGAGGGCTTTGGTTCCTGCTGCCATGATGTTTCACTTAGACAATGAAAACCCTCTGAGGTTACAAACTTGACCCATCACAGTGTCCCGACAGGGGAGCTCACACTGGTGGCATGAAAGGGACAGTAACCAGCTCATGTCTGGCTGTTTACTAGCCACCCCCGGCTACTCCCTGGTTCAGAAGCCCAGGACTGGCTGTGGGAGGCAAAATGGGGAGACTTGATGCCCCCCCCCGCCCCACTCCGCACATCACCCTCGGCCTGGACAGCCTGCAGTGTTGGCCACACGTGAGCAAGCCATGTCTCTAAGGGGCTGTTCTCCTGCACAGTCTGAGCCATCGCAGCACCAGGGAGGGGTGCGTGGCTCCATGAGCTCTGCAGAGAGCCTAGGAGAAGGCAGGGTGGCCCCGAGGGCCTCCCAGTCTGCACCCAGCCACTCGGGCTCTGCAGGATTTGGGCTGAAACTCCTGTTCCCAAGTTAGCTGCCTGGGGGTGCACCGTGGAGTCCAGGGTGTGTCGGATGTGTGTGTTGGCGGGGGCGGGGATCCTCTCCTCTCAGTAAGCTCTCTGACACGCAGGCACTGGCTCAGGGACTCCACGCTGTGGCACAGGCCCTTGGAGAACCTCTGCCCGCCCCAGGGGCTGCAGCTGGGGAGGGGCATGAAGGCAGGAGGGAGGGCACCTGGACACAAAGCCAACTCAATAAAGCTCTGTTGCCTCTGTCGGTAAACACAGGCGTTGTGACCCTGCGGGCAGAGCAGAGAGAGGATGTGGTGTCAGTGGCTGGTTGGTTGGTTTGTGTTTTTTGTTAGGGCTGAAGAAGATAAAAATCATTGCATTTCAGAGCGAGGCAGGTTCCTAAAGCTCCTATAATTGGGCACCCCTGCTTCGCTTCCTAACATGAGAAAACCCAAGCAGAGGGGACAGCAGGCAGTGTCCCACCTCCCAGGGGCTTCGCCCAGCGCCGCATCTCCTAGTTACTCTCTCCCATCACCATGTATCTCCTGCAGCACTTCCTGACATGTTCCCTTTCTCTACATGCTTCTCTTCTTAATTAATGAGCCACAACACCCTTCCCCCAGCCCTTAAGACTAAAAGCTCAAGGCTGGCGCCGCGGCTCAATAGGCTAATCCTCCGCCTTGCAGCGCCGGCACACCGGGTTCTAGTCTCGGTCGGGGCGCCGGATTCTGTCCCGGTTGCCCCTCTTCCAGGCCAGCTCTCTGCTGTGGCCTGGGAGTACAGTGGAGGATGGCCCAAGTGCTTTGGCCCTGCACCCCATGGGAGACCAGGAGAAGCACCTGGCTCCTGGCTTCAGATCAGCGCAGTGTGCCAGCCACGGCTGCCATTGGAGGGTGAACCAACAGCAAATGAAGACTTTTCTCTCTGTCTCTCTCTCTCTTACTGTCCACTCTGCCTGTCAAAAAAAAAAAAAAAAAAAAAAACTAAAAGCTCTGTGACAACAGGGACCGGTTTGTCTCGCTCATTGCTGCTCTGTCCCCCGCTCAGAGGTCAGTACACTGCCTTCCATTCACAGGTGGCAGAGCCAGAGCCCAGAGGAGCTTCTCAGGCTGGTGTGCTTCCCTCTGGCTCTGCACTGGAGCCTCATCAGGACAAGGCCGGTGTCTCTGGTCCACACATGGCCCATGGTGCATAGCGAGCCCTCAGTGACATCTGTAGAAATGGGGCAGACCAAACAGAGCCCCTACAACCGGATTCCAGAAGCCTCCACCAGAGTCCACATTCCAGGCACACACACAAACCCCACTCTCCAGGGCCCTGCAGGTGGCATGAAGCTTGCCCGAGTCCCTGGGGAGCCAGCAGCAGAGTTCCTGGCACACCTGGTCAGGGCCTGTTGACTTTGGATCTCTGGCTGAGATGTTATCTCCTGGATCCAAAGGCCTTATTGACAGAGACGTGTGCTGCGGCCCCATGCAGAGCGTCCGTCAGCCTCCCAGAGCAATCACCGGGAGGAAATGGAGAAGACGGCAGTCTGGGGCCCCTGGTGCCTCTGAGCAGATAGGGTGCCAAGTGTGTGCAGGAGCTGGCGAGGGCACCTCCCTCCCCCAGAACCACCTCCTGGTGGAGCCGGAGCTGGAGTGAGGAAACACACTGGACTGCAGTCCATGGGCTTCTGCACATGGGGTTCATAGCAGGTTAAGACACTGTTTGGGCAGCCTGCACCCCATAGCCAAGTGTCTGGGACTGAGTTCCACCTCCACTGTGACCCAGCTTCCTGCTAATGCCCCTGGTGATATCGTCCACCTTATTAATAACTTCACTAATAATAATCTTAGTGGATTCTTGTCATTTATTCTGAATACTGGCTCGAATGGTCCAGACAATGTGGTAAGTTTTTTTTTTTTTAAGGGTTTTATTCAGTGAGAGAGATGCATAGGAAAGTGAGGGCTTTAATTAGGGGACAAAAAAATCTAGAAGCTAAATTGGGTCCATGCCAGGCAGAGAGCAGGCCAGGAACCTCTGGAGCAAGCATGCGGGCAGGAAACAGAGGCAGGGCAAAGGCCATAAGGCCTCACACCCCGAAGGCACCGGGCTACACGGGCACAGCAAGAGGAGGGGCCCACCATGGTCCAGGCCTTTTATCCACTTCCAAAGGGAAGTGGATACATAGCCTGATCGGCAGGTGGGCATTCAGGTGAGATCAGGTAGGGGCATGAGATCACACAGAGGGTATGGTGTAGGGTGCGGTCTCCAGCTTGCAGATCTAATCAGTTTGATCCTTTCTGCCTGCCTATGTCACTGGGAGGCAGAGATGTGACCCCAGTACTTGGGTTTCTGCTGCCCACCTGGGAGACCCTGATGGAGTCCCTGGCACCAAGTTTCAGCCTGCTTAGCCTTGTCTGTGGAGTAAACCAACAGATGGAATCTCTCTCTCTCCTCTCTCCTCTCTCCTCTCTCCTCTCTCCTCTCTCCTCTCTCCTCTCTCTCTGCCTTTCAAATAAATTAATAAAACTTTAAAAAGAAGACTCTCCAGCAATCCACCTAAGCTCAGAGGAGCCATGGACGACACTATTCAGGTTCACTTCAGACCCCAAATTGGAAGTTTTCCAAAAGTTTTTCCGGAAGGTAGCCCGGCCAGTGGCTCCAGCCCTGTCCCTGCTAACATTCACTAGCCTGCCCATTCCTTTGACAGGAAGTCGGGGCTCGGGGTTGCAATATGGCTCGCTGGGATCTTGTGAAAAAGAAATACTTAGGAAGCAGAGAGCAAAACTGTGGTATATTGATAACAACCCTGAAATATTCCCCATAGTAATTACAGGGACTATATAATAGAATTACATATCCTGTGCTTCGCCACGGCCTCCCACAGGCCATGTGTTCTTCCCTACTCCTTAAATTTGGGCACGAGCTTTTTAAAAAAATATTTATTTATTTAAAGGCAGAGCATCAGAGAGAAGGGGGAGAGAGAGAAAGAGAGAGATCTTCCATCACTGGTTCACTCCCCAAATTGCCACAACCGTCAAGGCTGAGCCAGGAACCCCATCCAGGTCTCCCACACAGGTGCAGGGGCCCAAGAACTTGGGTCATCTTCCACTACTGCCCCAGCCAGAATAGCAGGGAGCTGGATCAGAAGCAGAGCAGCTGGGATTCAGACCAGTGTACTCTGACATGGGATGCTGGTGTCACAAGCCCCAGCTTAATCCCCCGGCTGTGCCACAATGCCCGGTCCTGGGCATGAGCCTCATTATTTGCTTTGACCAATGGGATGTTGGCAAACAGGAGGCCAGCAGAGGCTTGAAGTGAGCCAGCACCGCTGGGCTAGCCCCTTGCACTCCAGTGATGGCGGCCTTGGGAAAACCTGTCCCTGGCGGCTGTTACCCGCTCAGCCCATATCCAGAGGTGCGTTCCTGTGTGTCGTATCTGGGAACACAGACAACAGGCCTGAGCCAGGTCCACAGCCAAGCCCGGGGTAGCTGAACCACGGCTGATCCCAGACCTATTATGGGAATAAATGCCTCTTGTCACAAACCACGATGACTCAGGGTGTCTGTTACACAGCGCGGAGCTGTATCAGCCACGGCCGGGTACAGAAACACTGAGAGAGCAGCTGCCTGGAATGTGTCAGTCCAAACCCCATTCTGTTTCCCCACACCGCTTCCTGAATGAACCCAGGGAGCAGACTGTGCCTGCAGAAGTGGGGCGATAGTCACGATGAAGCAGCGGGACCCGATCCACGCTCCCACTTTGGTTGACTGTGAACCGGACAAAGTGGGCCAAACCGTGACTGTCCGGCACCAGCTGCTGGGCAGTGCTGGACACTGGCCCCCGAGGGTCGAGGAGCTCAGGCGGTGGCCCTGCACTGGCTCTCGTTGTCTTGCCTGAAGACAGGCTGCAGGGGCCGCTCCAGAAGGGGAGACTAGGCGGGGCCTCGGGATTTCCCTGAGCTGAGGAAATGGAGGTAGGAGTCCAGGGAGGGGGAGGTGGCAGAGTACCAGGGATGCGAACTTGAGAGCAGGAGAGGGAGGGGGAGAGAGAGAGAGAGAGAGAGGTCTTCCATCCACTGGTGCACTCCCCAAATGACCTCAACAGCCAGGGCAGGAAGGAGCCAGGAGCTTCTTCCAGGTCTCCCATGCAGATGCAGGAGCTCAAGGAGTTGGGCATCTTCCACTGCTTTCCTGGGCCATAGCAGAGAGCTGGATTAGAAGTGGAGCAACCGGGACTTGATGTCAGCACTGTAGGTGGCAGCTTTAACCACTATGCTACAGCACTGGCCCCACTCAACAGTATTTAAAAGAAAAAAAAATCCGATGTAAGATTCACACCATCTGGCATCCAATAAAAAGTGACTGGGGATGCAAAGCAGCAGGAAAAATATGGCCCATGCTGAGGCTAAAAACCAATTGCTAGAAACAGAAATAGACCCCAGGAATGACACAGAAAACTGAGTAAGTAAACAAGATGATTTTTTTTAAATGCAGTGGGTCATGTGTTTAAAGCAGGTGCAGAAAGATGCCCCTTGTCATTCCCTAAGCATAAGCACAGCTCCTTCACCTGCTGGTTGTCCAGCACGGCTGTGCCTTCCACCGCACGGAGTTCAGGTGACCCAGCAGAGACAGGGCCAGCTCTCCTGGGACTTCCATGTTAATTAGGGAAGTGGACAATCAGTACATAAACAAAAGGATCAGTGTGAAGCAGGAGGTACCGGAATAGCATGGTCCTGGGAGCCCTGTCAAGGAGGGGAGGGTGTGAGGGCAGGAGCAGGCGCAGAGCGGAAGGCAGAATGGTGGGCTCAGTGTCCAGTGCTGGGAGAAGACACGGGATGTGCAGTGTGGGGATTTGGGAAGTGGAAGGGAGTATTCCTTGATGTACATCAGGGACAGCCAGGGCTTCAGGGCTAGGGAATGTAGAAAGACTGGCTGTGGAATAGCAGATTAAGCGTCTGCCTGTAGCACCGGCATCCCATATGGGTGCCGGTTCAAGTCCCGGCTGCTCCACTTCTAATCCAGCTCCCTGCTAAAGTACCTGGGAAAGCAGTGGAAGATGGCCCAAGTTCCTAGGCCCTTGCACCCAGAAGGAGCTCCTGGCTCCTGGCTTTGGTCTTGTCCAACCTGAGGTTGTTGCTGCTATTTGGGGAGTGAACCAGTGGATGGAAGACTTGTCTCTCCTTCTCTCCATAACTCTGCCTATCAAATAAATAAATCTTAAAGAAAAAAATCGCTGCACCTCACGTGGGCTTATGAACAGCTACTACAATGGTTCATTGAATCGTACATATAGACCAGGGCCTGCACACAAGATTGGCCAACCCTGGCACACCCCCTTTAGCTACAACCCTGACTGTGTCCCAACACTTTTGGTTTCTTGGTTTACATCCGGGCCCTGGGGAGGCTCTGCCCCTCTCTGAGACCCAAGGAAGTCTGTGTCATTCCATACCTTTCGCTGGCATCCTGGCCCCTGTCACCCCAGGCTTCCAGAGGCCTAGCGCCTCCTACAGCTCAGGATTTCTCCCAGGGGAGGTGACATAGGGGTGTGTCAATGCAGAGTGTCCAGTGGATTCAAGTCACCTTTCTGGAGGATATTGGCCATTGAGAGAAGGGGCCAGGCTCCTGCTGTTGTCATGCCTCCAAGGACAAACTGCTGCCACCCCCACCCTAACCATTAAGATAGACAGGTGAGCAGTACCCTGACAGGGGTTGCAAACCCTGATCCCATTTCAGCTGCCTCCTCTTCCCTGTCGCTCTTCCTCACACCCTTGCTGATGCGTCTTGGTCACCCCGCGGCTGGACCACTCACTCCCACGCTGTGTCTGGGGAAGCCCAGCCAAGGCTCCTGAACTCCATCTGGTGGAAATGAAGCCCTCTCCCCAGTGCAACCACGGCCCCACTCTGAACTGTGTCTCCGATGGGCTCAGGGAAAGATCTTGTGTGGGAAAAGACTGCAGCTCTTTTTTAAAAGGCAGGCTGTGGTGCAGCAGGTCTGGCCTCCACTGTGACACAGCTGGCATCCCGTATAGGCATGCCATGTGGAGCCCTGGCTGCTCCGCTTCCCATCCAGCTTCCTGCTCATGTGCCCAGGAAGGCAGCAGATGATGGTTCAAGTATTTGAGTTCCTGCCACCCTCATGGGAAACCCAGATGGAGTTCCTGATTCCTGGCTTCAGCCAGGCCCAGCCATGACTGCTGTGGTCATTGGGGGAGTGAACCAGCATTTTTTAAATGAACAAATTTAAAATAAAAAAATAAAGCCCATTTCTGCATGGCTGGCACTGTGGCGTAACAAGTAAAGCCTCTGCCTACAGTGCCAGCATCCCATATGGGTGCTGGATCGAGTCCTGGCTGCTCCACTTCCAACCCAGCTCTCTGCTATGGCCTGGAAAAGCAGTGGAAGATGGCCCCAGTCCTTGCACCTACATGGGAGACCTGGAAGAAGCTCCTGGCTCCTGTCTTCAGATCTGCACAGCTCTGGCCATTGTGGCCAATTGGGGAGTGCACCAGCGGATGGAAGACCTCTCTCTCTCTCTCTCTCTCTCTCTCTCTTTCTCTTAAATCAAACAAACAAACAAACAAAAAGCCCATTTCTGCACAGGATCCACAGCAGGTGCAGTGTGTGTTTGTTCCGAGGCTTTCTGGGGAGTCACCCCTCTGCTTCGCATACCCTCTCTACGGGTCTGGGAGCAGGCAGGACCTCCTCCAAGGCCACACGCTCTTTGTTCACAAGGACAGATAAAAGCCCTTGGGAGCCTGCCCCATGCCACATCCACAGAGGACACTGGGGGACACCACCGGCAGCCCCTGCACCCACAGCCAGCACTTGCATACTTCGGGCCACCTATTTGCCGGGTGCTGGGGTCTGAAACCAGGGCCCGCAGCTGGGGCAGGGGCCTTATCTTCTGCCCTCGGCTCCCATCTGGAAAGCGTGCCTCTCGCCAGCGTGGACGTGGACTGGGGGCCTCCAGAGCGAAGCCGTGTGCTGGACAGCGGGGTGGGCAGCCGGCCTCCCCCTTATCTCAGGGCTCACTGAGGCGGAAAGAGGCCCATGCCCGGTACTGTGTTTGCTCTGCCTTCTCTGCCCACTGTACATGCAGTGGACCCGGGGGTTTTGTTTTTCTTCTCTTCCCTCCAATCTCCTTGTTAGTTCAGCCTCAGAAGGCCCCTTATCGCCTCCGGATGTCAGGCCGCACTCTGCCAGCAGGCCCGGCCGTGTCAGCCTCTCCATTAATTGATTTTGCCCTGCCCCCTTGGGAAGCACGCATTGGCTCTGCCCATTAGCGGCAGCAATTCCCTGAAAGAGATTATAAATCATGCCGGTGTCCACCCTCGCTCACGGCGGAGGCCTGCCCACGTGGGGCGATGTTGGGCAGGAGGCCTCCCCCAAGTCCTACAGGGCCCTCCTAAATCCCACCAGTGCTGACCCCAGCAGACCACAGCAAGCTAGAAAGAGTGGCCGGGACAGGTGCCAACGCGAGGGGGCACCATGTGAGCAACTATAGCATGAGAAGAGGAAGGGAGGGGTCTCCATGGCGAGTACCAGCACACGGCGGGTTCCCCATGGACGGGCCACAAGCGAATAGTGTTTTGTTTGCCTACGGAAAACCTGGTACCACTTCCTCCTGCCCAGGACCTGACGGTGGGCACCCATGATGGCTGTTGGGTCCTCCCTCTCCCCCAAGCCATCACAGGCATCCCTCTGGGCCACCGCAGTGCCCATGTTGAGTCCATTCTCTGTTCCTTCCTTCTCTTCCTTAACAACCGTCATTACCCGTGGACTGTGTCCAGAGGGATGGAGGATGCTCAGTGCTGACGGGGCTGCTCTGTTCACACCGGGGCATGCTGACATCCGTGGGTGAACATTCTGCCTCTCCAGGGCAATCAGAGAAGGGCTGATTGGCAGCAGGGTTGGGGGTTGATGGTGATTGTCATCAGGATGATTGTCACAGAGGTTGATGATTGTTTTAGGGGCTGATGTCTCTCAGCCTTTCAGCTGATCCCTCAACCCAGGAGCTGGTGAGTCTACAGTAGAGACCCCCATCAGCGCCCGGCTGGCCCCATCTCCCCAAAAACACGAGACGAAAACCAGCAAGGGTGAGTGTTGGGACTCCAGCTGCTTCCGACTCCAGTCTTGATGCAAGATGGCTCAGCAAGTCCAGGCATCTGTAGCCGAACCCTTCGCCAGGGTTGAACAAATTTGCCCCATCCTCAGCTGACTCCACTCATTCATGGCCAGCGCTGCATCGCACAGTCAGTGCCAGCTGCAAGGGAGCTTGGGAGAGCAGATGCAGGGGATGCGGTCGACCCTTGCACCTTCCCACATCTGCCTTCCCTCCTCGGGCTTCCGCGTGTTGCCCCCACCACGGCCAGGCCAACACCTGGGGCTTGTCTCCTGCATACTGCCTGCAGCCGGAGCTGTTGTGCCCAAGGCCAGAAACGCCCAAATAACTGATGGGTGAGGGACCATGGAAACCCAGCTCCCATGCTCTACCTCGGGACTAACAGGGGTGCCGGAGCACCCCAAGATCCAGGCCAAGGCTGGGGTCTGGAGCCTGGTTTGCCTGTCTCCTTTGCTTGCCCAGCTCTTTTATGGGTTTGTACTTACTTTGCTGCCTGAACACAGAGCTCTCTTGGTCTGCTCTGGGAAACCTCCCTAAGACAGCAGGGAGCAGGCGGCAAACAGTGATGGCCTGGCCCAACCACCTCCCATGCCTGGGGTCAACACACACAAGACTGGCTTCCATTAGCTGGAGGGAGGCAAGGCTGCCCAGCAGGTAACCAAGAAAACACAAGCAGAGAAATGAGAGTCCTCAGGGCTGGCTAGCGGGGACGTGCAGTGGTGCAGCCACTTCGGGAAACAGTCGGATGGCCCAGCAGCCCCAACTTCGGGCAGTCACCAGAGAGAAGTGAAAATACAAGCCCACATCAACCTCAAATCCAGGGTCGGTGTTTGGTGCAGCGGCTAAGACACCACTTGGCGTTCCAGAATGCCCTGTCTCAGGGTTTGTGTCTCAGCTCCGCTTCAGATCCAGCTTCCTGCTTATGTGTACCCTGGGAGGCAGCAGGTAACGCTGACCCCTGGCTCCCATGTAGGAGACCTGAATTGAGTTCCAGGATTCGGGTTTTGGCCTGGCCCAGCCCCAGCTATTGCAGGCACCTGGGGGAGTAAACCAGTTGATGGAAGATCATCTCTCTCTCTCTCTCTCTCTCTCTGCCTTTCAAAAAAAAATTTTAAATAATGATTTCTAAAAATTCAGACACAAATACAAAGGAGACTGGCAGCAGTATACACAGTAACAAAAAGTGGAAGTAACACACTGGGTGGCGACTGGATACACAAACCGAGGCTCCCTCATACAGGGAACTGTCACTGAGCCCTAAAGATTGGAGCCCCAGGACTTGCCACAGCAGGTACTTGGGCATCACCTGCTGCCTTCCAGGGTGCACATTAGCGGGGAACTGGATCGGAAGACGGGGATAGCCAAGACTCAAACCAGGCACCCGATCTGGGATGTGGCTTAACCCACTGTGCCACAACACCCACCCCTGGAGTTTCTCTTGGAGGTGATAAAAATGTTCTAAAATTGACTGTGGAGTGGGGATGGTTGTACAACCCTGGAAATATACAGAAAACCATTGAATTGTACTTTTCAAATGTGTGAATGGCACAGTTTGTGAATTATGCCTCTATAAAGCTGTTACACACACACATGAGCAAAGACGGGAAAGAAGAGACAGCAGCCTCACTCCCACCCACCCAGAGGGAGCCCCTGTGCACACCCCAAGGCCAGGATATGCTCTATTCCTTCTCATTCACACACGGATATCTCACCAATGCCTTGGAGGGTGGCCCGCCAACAGACTTCAAGCAAAACCAACAATCAGCAGGCACTCCAAGGGCAATGAACCCAGTTCACGAGCAGCACCGGCCCTGGTACGGTCCCTGAGCGAGACTGTCATCTGTCTGCTTGCTCTGCCCTGGTCTGTCGCCCGGCTCCCGGCTGACTCTTCCCCCAATAGGCAGGTCAATGCTGCCAGCCTGGTGTTGCTGCCTAGGCAACTGAGTAGAAGGTTTATTCACCACCCCCCCATTCTGATTTCTGCCCAGCTCCTAAGCTTGGAGGCTTGCAGCCTTCAGGGGTGAAGAGGCTGGGGGCCGTGGAGAGCACCTGTTCAAGTCTGGGCCACGGGGGTGCCCATTTCAGATGTGGCTCAGAAACACCCACCCAGCCTGCAGACAGCGAGTGAGACATGAAGACCTCAGGAGAACCAGGTAGGTTTCTTTGAGGGGTCCATGCTGCTGACTTACTGCTGCCCATGGGGGAAAAAAAGGAAGAAAAGGCTGGGTGGGGGTGGCAGGCCTGTTTGCACTCCGAGCACTTAGTGCAGCCAAGCTGAGCCGCACTGTTCAAACACACTCCCCGGCCTGCAGACACCTGCGCCGCAGAGCAGGGCACGGCAGGTCCTGGGCACAGGTCCCTGGGCACTCACTCCTCACCTGCCTCCCACCTCTCCTCCCCGTAGCCAGCCCCGAGGCCCTGGCAGGGTCCTGGCCGTGCTATGCCCTGCACCGGCTTCTGCAGCTGCTGGGGCAGCCGCGTGCTGCCCCTGCTGCTGGCCTACATCAGCTACCTGCTGCTTGGTGCCACCGTCTTCCAGCTGCTGGAGAAGCAGGCAGAGGCCCAGTCCCGGGACCAGTTTCAGTTTGAGAAGCTGCGCTTCCTAGAGAACTACACCTGCCTGGACCAGCAGGCCCTGGAGCAGTTTGTGCAGGTGAAGGGGGGGGGGGGGATGTGGGAACGGGAGGGAGGGGGTTGGGAAGGTGAGGAGGGTGGGGGTCCTCATGGCAGGTCCCAGGGGCTGATGCCCGCTGTGGAAGCTGAGTGGGAACAGAGAGCCTAGTGAAACCCAGTCCTGGGTTCTGGCCCCAGGTCTACAACCAATTGCTGTGTGACCTTGAGCAAATCATTTAACCTCTCTGGGCTCAATTATCCTCCCCTAGGGAGCAAAAGGAATAGTGTTACCTGTCCTGCATGTGGATCAGTGCCAGTAACGGTGGCCAAATTTCCTCCTCCCCCACTTCCGCTCTCCCCACACCCCACAGCTGCTGATCTTTCTCTCCACTCCCCAGCTCCTGTCCCCGGGCAGAGACACAGATCAATGCCAAGGGCAGTCACCAGGCTGGCTTCCCGAGTGTTTGTTCCGTCTGGAACTGGGCTTGGTGGGCAGTGGCCAGGGTGACTGAGCTCTGCCAGCTCACCCTGGGGAGCTCTCTCTGGTGGCAGAGGGGGCCATCCCCCTGCCTAGACCCCCTCCCCATCCCTCACTCCCAGAAACAAGGCAACCAGGTGTGGTGGGGAAGCAGAGGGTCGAGGTGGGGACAGGAGCGGCTGAGAGTGGCTGCACCTGCTGATCATTCACCATGTGCCTCCAGCAGCGAGCAGAGCAGCGGGGCCTGGGGCTGAGCGCTCTCCGGGTGTTTTCTCATACCCCTGTCTCCACCGCCACCTCCACTTTGTAGACGGGAGCTGAGGCAGCGAGCGGTAGAGTGTGTTGACCAAGGCGGCAGTTCCTGGTAGAACTAGAACTCACACACTGGAACGCTGCGTCTTCACCACACAAATGGCAGAAGTGCAGGGGTGGGGGTGGGGAGGCAGCAGGTGGCTGCCCTCTTCCAGCAAGGACTGGACAGCAGCACCAGCAGCCCCTGGGAGCCTGCGGGCAACTCACAGGACTCCAGCCCAGACCTGCCGACTCGGGAACCCAGTAGCCTGCGGTTAAGCCCTGCGGATGGTGCTGAAGTCCCTCAGAATTAAGGGCAGCTGGCCTAGAAGATGACACCTGGTCAGAGAGAACTTTCTGGAACTGTGAGAGAACTATCCCAGGTTCTCCCAGGAAACTGGGCTTCCGGCTTCAGGCTCCACTTCCTTGCCGTCTGGTGGACAGGGTTAGTGAGGCTTGGGGTCATGGTACCCAGATCCGGGCTGAGAAGAGGTCAGGAGCCTCCCAGACCCTGCATTGGAAGGCAGAGGCCCTGGAGACTCCCTCCACCCTGGGTGAGAGGCGGGAGCCAGGAGCCTGAGGGTGTGGGGAGCCCCGGAAGGCAGCGTCCCACCAGCTCTGCAAGGCAGAAGGAGGGCAACTACAGACGTGACTGCAGGGTGCCCCCAGTGACGTCCAGGGGCACAAGGCAGCCCTGTCCCTCGACTTTAGGACAAACCCTGCCTTGCCAGGGCAGTGGAGCTGGGAGGCAGAAAAGTGCTGGGGTGAGACCCCGGGATACACACACAGCCCCCAGCAGCTCTGAAAGCAGGGCTGAAATGGACTCCGGGTGCAAACGAGGCTTGGGCGGGTTCACCACACTCCCAAGCCCGCCTCTCTCCCCCCACCCCCGCCCCATGTGGATTCCCAGAAAAGAAAGCTCTGCGGCCGCCCACCTCTGCCCACCCTGGTACTGGGCACCTCACTGACTTCAGTGCCCCTGCTCTCCAGGATGGAGAACCCAGGCCCAAGGCGAGTGCTGTTCCCAAGGGTGTGAGGGTCTCCAGGAAGCAGGGTGTTTAGGAATGTTCCATCGAGCCTCTCTGGCTCTGTGGGAAAGACGGGAAGCCAAAGTCCACATCCTCAGAGGCCAGTTCCGCAGACATGAGGAGAAGCAGACAGCCTGTGTCAGGGGGATGCCCAGACCGGCCTGGCCCAGCCAGGGGAGCCGCTTCCCATAGGAACTGCTGACCCAAGCTGCCACAGTCCTGCCTGCCTTGGGAGCTGTGCCAGGTGGCGAGGCTATACTGCTGCCCCTGGACAGTGCACAGTTGAAGGGGAGGGGGCTGGGGGCTGGGTCCTGGGGTCCTAGAGTTACGTATTTCCCCTAGTGGTTGGGCTCAGGGATGAAGGCTTTTAGGTTTAAGCCTGCAAAAGTTCAGGTTGTATAACACAGGTGCAAGACACACACACACACACACACACACATCATGCACATATGGGCAATGTACAAAGATGTTTCAAGAAGTTTGTGGAAAATGGAATTAAAAGCTAAGTTTTTAAAAGTATTTACTTATGTGAAAGGCAGAATTTCAGAAAGAGAGGGATAGACACACACAGAGAGAGAGAGAGAGAGGGATCATCCATCCATCTGGTTCACTCCCCCAGATGGCCACAAGGGCTGCAGCTGGAGCCAGGAGCCTGGAACTCCATCCAGGTCTCTCACGAGGGTGGCAGGGGCCCAAGCATGTGGGCCATCTTCCACTGCTTTGCCCAGGTCATTAGCAGGGATCTGGATTAGAAGTGGAGCAGCCAGGACTCAAACCAGTGCTCATATGGGATGCCGACGTTGCAGGCCACACCTTAACCCACTGTGCCACAATGTTAGCCCCAAAAGATATATTATATGTTGGTGCAAAGAAGTTTTGAAATCCATGCACACCTGAGGTGTTCTAAAAGCCCATGGAGGGGCCAGCGCTGTGGCACAGCAGGGTAACACCCTGGCCTGGGATAGCAATAGAAGATGGCCCAAGTCCTTGGGCCCCTGCACCCATGTGGGAGACCTGGAGGAAGCTCCTGGATCCTGGCTTTGGATCAGCGCAGCACCAGCCATTGCAGTCATTTGGGGAGTGAACCATCGGATGGAAGACCTCTCTCTCTCTCTCTCTCTCTGCCTCTCTTTCTCTCTCTGTGTAACTCTGACTTTCAAATAATAAAAATAAATCTTTAAAAAAAAGCCCATGGAAAATGAAAACGCTATGTATGGATTTCAAATTGTGGCACCAAAATAAACTCCCTTTTTAACTCCACTTTTCCATGAACTTGCTCAAGTCCTCTTGTATAGTTCTCATGCACACACGTGCACACACACACGTGCACACACACCACCCTGCATGTGTGCACACAGACTCTATCTAGAAGTTCCCTGGGAGGCACAGCTGGGACTCACTAGAGGGCAGCCAAGGGCATGGCCGCCAGCTCACCTGGAAGGTCACAGAACGCTGGCTTCTTTGTCCCCCACCTTCAGACCTGTGGCTTCCCTGTGGCCCCCAATCCCCATGCTCCCCACTCAGCCCTTCCAGAACCACCCATCCTGACGTCTCCCCAGTCCCAGCAACCCCCATGCAATGTCCTCTTGTCACCAGCTGGGTCTCCTGCCTGGACCCCCCAGCAGCATCCTGCACCTCACCGCGGGCCCCTTCCCCTACAGCAGGCCCCCAGGAAACCTCAGTCAGCCCTGGCCGGGGAACAGGCACTAGCCTCGCAGTCCAACAACCCCGGGCGAGTCACTTAGCCACCCCAAGCCATCAAGTCCTTTCCCGAAACGCTAATGCTACTAAGAGGGTAACTCAGAGCAACTTCGTGAACTTCATGAAACTTCATGAAGGCATCCTGTGAAGAACTTGGGGACTCCAGGTCTGTCACCTCCGCCGTCCTCCCCTACCCATGCCATCCCCCCACCACACAGGTCATCATGGAAGCCTGGGTGAAAGGCGTGAACCCTAAAGGCAACTCCACGAACCCCAGCAACTGGGACTTCGGCAGCAGCTTCTTCTTTGCAGGCACGGTCATCACCACCATAGGTAACATCCGGGATATGCGAGGACTCCCCAAGGCCCTGTCCTAGAAGGAGCTCCCCAAAAGCGGGCGCTGGGACGAAGATGTGGTTTAGCTGGGAGACGACTCAGGAAACACCGGGAGGGGAGTGGGCGAGCGGAGATAACGCTTGTCTGAATGACTCGGCTCCTTCTGCTCAGGACCCGCGGAGGGGCTGGGCAGACCCCATCCTCAGAAGAGTTCCCGCCAGGGGAGAGACTGAGGGGCTATTTATCTCCCAGCTCCTGCCCTTGCGGCCCAAGGGCTGGTCCTGGGGGCTTTAAGTCTCCAGCATTCTGGACAGGTGCATAGACCAAGCATAGTCCTGCACCCATGAGAGTCTCCCAGGCGGGGCGGGTGTCTAGCCTAGCAGGTAAGATGCCCGTTGAAACACGCACGCTCCACAGGGGACTGCCCAGGTCCAACACCCAGCTCCTGGCTGCAGTCTCAATCTCCCTGTGATGCCGACCCTGGCTCAAGTCACCGGCTCCCTGCCACTTAGGTGGGAGACCTGGATTGAGTTTCTGGCTTCCAACTTAAGCCATTGTGGGCATTTAGGGAGTGAATTGGCAGACAATAGAAACTCTCTCTCTTTCTCCCTCCTTCTGCCTCCCTTCCTCTCTCCTCCCTCCCTCTCAAACAAATACACTTTCTTTCAATCTCTCAGGTAGGATCAGGAGTTCAGCACACTGTTAAGACCGCACTTATGAAGCCCACATCCCATATCTGAGGACCTAAGTTGGAGTCCTGCTCCACCCCCGCCTCCAGCTTCCTGCTAACGCACACCCTGGAAGGCAGCAGGTGGCGGCGGCTCCTGCTATGCACACGGAACACCTGGACTGAGGTCCTGGCTCCCAGCTTTGGCCTGGTCCAGCCCTGGCTGTTGCAGGGAGTGGATCATGGCTGCCATATCTGTTTCCCACCCACACCCCCCCCCAAAAAAAAAACCTTAGATAGGTGGGAGGCCACTTGTGTACAGAACTGTCCACCAAAGCTGCAGGTGATATCCTCGGTGTTCTGACGGGACAGGACCCTCACAGTACCTGCTACACCCCTTCAGCCAGAAAACCCACTTCACCAGCCCCCAAGGAACCCTTCAGACTCCTTCCAATGCCTCTCCCCCATGTACTCAGTTAGGTCTCATTCAGCACCTCTTCCTTGAGCACAGGTGACAAGAATTATATAAGGCAAAGAACATCACAAGCTAGGAATGACACAAAGCACGAGGGGCAATCACACCCAGGTGGGGGAAGGAGGGTGCCATGCAGGAGGGCTTCCTGGAGGCAGTGTCATTTAAGAAAGATCAGCAGAGTTCCTACAAACAAAGATCATTCTAGCGGAGTTCATGGGAAGGGGGAGGGGCGCCCACCCCCCATAGGTGGTGGAAGAGGAGCCTCTGCTGGAGCCTGGGGAGGGGAGGTGGACGCACTCTGACCCCTGGTCCCTGTATGTGCACATGCCCCCTCCCTCTGCAGGGTATGGCAACCTGGCGCCCAGCACAGAGGCGGGGCAGGTCTTTTGTGTCTTCTACGCCCTGGTGGGCATCCCGCTCAACGTGATCTTCCTCAACCACCTGGGCACAGGGCTGCGTGCCCACCTGGTCACCCTGGAGAGGTGGGAGGACCAGCCCCGGCGCTCCCAGGTAGGGCTCCTCCCTCCCTTGAAGCCTGCAGTGCAACTAGGGGGCGGAGTTGGGTGCAGAGTCTGAGAGGCAGCCACCCGTGGAGTGGAAGAGAATTGCAGGTGCTGGCCGAGCAGAGGGGGAAACTGAATGGTGGGGGAGGGCTGGACAAGGGCTAGGCCTGGGGAGCTCGGCAGGGGGCCGAAAGGGCAGGCTGACATTAACCCAGCCTCAACCAGGCTTACATGGGGGCCCCGGATCCTCGAGCCACGCGTTCTCTGGGACGGGAGACAGCTGCCCAACCAAGCTTCCTTAAAGCGGATCTGGGCAGCATGTCCTCGTGGTCATCACAGAATTCTAGCTTCCTTTGGTGTGGCCAGAAACAGGCCACAGGCCACCCAGTACACCCCCGATGCCTACACCAGGAGGGCAGGGGTGAGAAGACTCTGGAACAGTGCCATGCAGTCCTCTGCCCCTGAATGAGCCCCCACGGGGCGTGTTCAAGTGTGACCCCTCCCCCCAGGCCTGACAGGCTCTCCAGATCTCTGCTTAACCCACTTAGGGCAATTCCTCTGCCCAGAGCTTGCCCCAGCCCCACCCCCAAGGTCTGCCGGGCAGGGCAGGGGCCTCGCTACGGCCCAGTCCCACTCCCAGGTTGGCCTGAGACCACTCTACGGTCTTCCCAGCCAACTCAGCGGCAGACCCCTGCCCCGCCCCCACCGCAGCTCCTGCAGGTGCTGGGCCTTGCTCTGTTCCTGGCCTTGGGGACGCTGGCCGTCCTCATCTTCCCGCCCATGGTCTTCTCACACGTGGAGGGCTGGAGCTTCGGCGAGGGCTTCTACTTTGCCTTCATCACGCTCAGCACCATCGGCTTCGGGGACTACGTTGTGGGTGAGAACGGGACAGTCACGTCCGCTGGGGTGGGGAACCTGGGGGGCCTGGAGGGAGGGCACCCCTGATGGTCAGACGTGGCCTCGGGCTGTTCACGCGAGACTGCTGGGGACCATCAGAGGTCTGGGACCCATTGCCAGTCACTTCCCCCAGGGACTTCCACTGCTGATGTTTGTTAAGGGGAAGAAGGAGAGAGCATCCTGGCTGGTGGGGACCCCTAGGAACCCCTCGGACCCCTGCATGGCTGCCTTCCCCTCCCCCGGCAGGCACGGACCCCAGCAAGCACTACATCTCCATCTACCGGAGCCTGGCGGCCGTGTGGATCCTCCTGGGCCTGGCCTGGCTGGCGCTGATCCTCCCCCTGGGGCCCCTGCTTCTGCACAGATGCTCCCAGCTCTGGCTGCTGGGCAGGGGCCTCGGCCTCAAGGCCAGAGCCTCCACTGGTGCTCCCGGCCTCTCCAGACCTCAGAAGACCCCCATCTCGGCATGAGCCCCACCCCAAGTGGCCTCAGAAGCCCTCCTCCACCTCCCCCACCCAGCCCACCCCACCCCACCCCACCCCGTGCCCTCTGGTTTTCTTGCCCTGCCTCCTCTTCTCCCAATCCACTCACTCCCCAGCCGGGGCTGATGTCAGGAGCTCTGCGGAGGGAGACAGAGGTGTCTGAGAAAGCAACAGCAGGGAGACGTAGAGGCAGGATCCAAGACAGGTGCGCGTGAGTCCAACACGCACCTGCACCCTTCCCTGCCACAAAGGCTGCCTGGAAGAAAACTCAAGCCCCACGTGGACCACTGCGGCCAGCTGTCCACTGCCCACCCCACATGCCTACCCCAGTGAGTTCATGCAGGCAGCATAGGCTGCCCTTCACCTTGCTTCCCTATTTGCAGGCACGGGGCCAAGCTCAGGGGTACAACAGAGAAAGCTCTGCCCCCTAGCGTCCTTGTCTTCTAGTGAAAGGACTAGACAGTGCCCGAGATGCTGTGATGGCAGCAGACCCACGAGAGGAGTGTCTGGTGGGCAGGGCCAGGCTAGGCAGAAGCTTTGGAACAAGCTTAGCACACCCGGGACGGCTGCCTTCGGGGGCTGCCCCTTAGAGCTCCCCGGAGCCCCTCGCCTGGAGGCCTAGAGCTGCCATGAACAAGGCTACGGCCTCTTGGGTCTCCCACTCCTTTCCCGGCCCCCAGGGGACTCCCTCTGGGCTGGTGTCTTCTCAAGCCGCCCTGGGAAGCCAGAGAGCAAACAGATCCCAGGAGCCTTCTGGGAAAGGCACCCTCCCTGGGGAATGCAGCCTCCAGGCCTGGCCTGTCTCCTGCCAGACTGCGACATGTGTGGCCAGAGGGAAGAGCAGGGGTCAGCCTGTCCAGTCCAAGCCCCTGTCTCTCCCACCAGGCTACAACAAACAGGCCCCTAAGTGGCTGGGCCCTGGAGGACAGGACCCCTGGGAGGCGGGGCCCAGGGTACAGGGCTGAGAGCCGGGCAACAGAGAACCCTATGGGCTCTCAGCACACCCTGGGCGGATGCTCTATGCAGGGTGCCTCTGGGGAAGTAAGGAAGGGCAACTCCCCTGGTCAAGGCCCCCTCGCTGCCGAGCCCGGGGACCCTGGCCTTCCTAGGACACACAACGGAGAGGCTGCCGGTTCAGGAGAGCCAGGGGGGCTGGACCGGCAAACCTGGGAGTTGGTCCCAGGGTCCTGGAACCTAAGACAATAAACTCGACTTCTACTTTCTCTTCCGCCCGTGCAGTCTCCACGAGTCCCACCCACTGCTTCCCGCAGGAAATCCTGGGGGCCTGGGGCGCTGGGGACTCTGGGCCCCCTTCCTCTCTGGGTTCTGGGCCTGGGGGGCTGAGCGCGGTGCAAGCACTCGAGGCGGGGCCAGGTGCCCTGGGCTCTCTGCGCCTCTTTTTGTCCTTGGGATTGGATCCCGGGGCGGCGTGGGCTGGGCTGTCCCATTCCCCAGCTCTCCGCCCCTCGGGTGAAAACCGGGCAGCGGGCTGCAGTGCGCTCGCTGGAGAAGCGACCGTGGAGAGCGCCCTTCCCCGGCGCCGGCGCCGGCCCCCTCCAGCCATGTCCCGGCGGCCGCGAGCGCGGGCAGCGCCCCAGGGCAGGGCCCAGGGCTGCGTGGTGCCCGGCACCGCGCTCCTGCTACTCGCCTACCTGGCGTACCTGGCACTGGGCACCAGTGTGTTCTGGGCGCTGGAGGGCCGCGCGGCGCGGGAGTCCGGCCGCGGTTTCCAGCTCGACAAGTGGGAGCTGCTGCAGAACTTCACGTGCCTGGACGGCCCGGCGCTGGACTCGCTGATCCGGGTCAGGGGCGAGGGGGCGCGGCGGGCACAGGCGCAGGACCCAGCGTCGGCTCCGGCCCGGCACGGGAAAAACGCCGCGGGCGTTTCTCCAAGGAAGAGGGGTGGGGACTGCTGAGTAGGGGACCCCCGACCTGCGAGGGGATGGCGCCCCGCTGCGCTCGGCCGCAGCCCTCTTTAAGGAGCCCAGAGGGCCCGATGGGCTCGGTCCCGACCCACATCCCGACTTGGGGATGCGGACCACAGAGGGAGCTCTTGCCGCCGTGGCCCAGCGGGGTCGGCACCGGGACGCGGCGCGTGGCGGGAAGGAAGGGCGGGGGGGGCGGGTACTGCACCTGCATGCGCGGCGGAGGGTGAAAGGGCGCGACAGGGCGCTGCCGCGCAGAGAACCCGCGTGCCAAGAAGCTCATTGCGGGCAAGGACGGCAGGGGGCGCTGCCCAGGTGTGGAGACCCGCAGGGCCGAGGACACCAGCGTCGGGTGGGGGGAATGGGGCCGAGGCGCGCCGGCTTGGGCAGCGGCAACCGAGACCCAGCACGGGATGCGAAGAGCTGGGTTCGAGAGAAGGGCGGACTCGGGTGGCACACCCCGAGTCTTCCGAGCCCCAGGATCGGGCGCACTGCGCCAGCCACGGGGTGGGACACGCACCGATCTCTGCGGGCAGACTCTTTGCGGGGAAGGTAGGGGGAGAAGGCTGGGCGTGTTCTTCCTGGCAGGGCATCCCACCTGCGGAGGTGTCTTCCTGCTGGCGGCAGGCGATGCCTGTCGGGCAGTTGCGGGATCTGGCGGATGTACATTAACTTCACGCGCCCTGGCCTGGCCACCATTCCCTGGGATAACGGAGGGCCGGCTCCCAGAAGGTGCACCCTAGTGCAGAAACCCCAGCCTGTCGCCCCAGCGGCCCCTGCCCCGGAGTTGCCAGCCCAAAACCCACACAGGTAGCAGGGTGGGAAGGGACCAGGCGGCGCTGAGGTGAGGTTCTGGATCCTTGCGCTGGGCAAGCTGGGTTGGGCAAGTGCTGCCACCTCTGCCAAGGATCCCAGGGGCTGCCTCCAGCCCCACCTGCAGCCTGGTTGGGGCAGGTGACCATGAGGGTGACCGGGATAAGAGTGAATGCTTTGTGCCAGGCGCCCCTCCTAGTATGCTAGCCTGTCATCCTGTTTCACTCTCTCCTCCCTGCCAGAAAGGTCCTGTTTTAATCATGTCCATTTTAGAGATGAAGAAACTGAGGCTGAGGTGCCCTGTGAGCACAAGGCTGCACAGCCAGGAGCTGGGGCCATTAACTACCATGAGTGCTGCCTCCGTGTGGCCTGTGACTGTGGCCCGAGCTTCCCAGCCAGGCTCCAGCCTCTGCACCTTCCTGCCCAGCCCTTCCTGCTCCAACCGCATCTCACCCCCTCCTCCATCCTGCCATGGCTTCAGCTGTCCCCAGGAATGAGGAAGTGGTGTCCAGCCCAGCTGATTCTTCAAGGCCCAGAGCAAACCAGCCCTTGTCCTCCCAGCCCTGCCCCTCCACCTGTTCCAGATCTGTCATTGGCCCCACTTCCACTCGTGCCAGATGGAGCCAGAGACCTGCACGGCTGCCTAGCTCCTCCCTCTTCCTCCTGGACCACTCTCTCCCCCTGGGGACAAGCCAGCCCCTTCCATCGTTCTCCCTGCCAGGAGCCCTCCCCTTCTGGTCCACCTGCCCTCCTGCTCTGCCAGCTGCCCCAGGAGCACACTTATTGCCTCCCTCTGCTGTGTGACGTTGGGTGAGGTCACTCCATCCCGGCACCGCAGCACCAAGCGCAGACCCTGACGACCTCCCCATCTCCCTGTTGGCAGCCCCAGGCGTAATCTCACCTCCCCGCTGAATAAAGGGGGGCTCGGCTAAAGCATCTGCTCCCCTCCAGAATTCTGTTCCTAATGGTGATGTTGATGGCAGCCACTAGCATTGACCGGGTGCCGGGTGCTGTTCTAGGTGCTGGCACATACGACCTCAAGTAACCCTCGCACTAACTCTGCATTGGGTACAGTCAGTGGTCCCATTTCACAGAGAAGGAAAAGGAGGCAACGAGGGGTCATGCAGCCACACGACCTGAAGCCGCAGTGCCCGCAGTGTGTTAGGGTTCAGCTCATCTCCGTGCGGCTGAGGGCCCAGCCCTCGTGTTCAGGTCCTCTATGTGCACTGTGTTCCAGGAGTGAGAGTGAGCAAGGGGCAGAAAGAGTTGTTCTGGCAGCCCCTAGACAGCACCGTCCCCACCCTGGCCTGAGCCCTGGGGCAAAGAGAGGGGAGGGCGCTGGTGCCCTCGTCCCTGCTCCTGGGGAGCCCCCAGCTGGTTGGAGGGACACAACTTCCTTGCCCCTGCCAGACTGGGATGGAGAGGAGTGAGCATGTGTGTGTGTGTGTGTGTGTGTGTTTATGTGTGTTGGGGTGCAGTGACCCAGTCACCCCGCAGAGCCTGGCAGTCATGACAGCCTCCCCCACCCCAGGACATCATCCAAGCGTACAAGGACGGTGCCCACCTCCTCGGCAACACCACCAGCATGGGGCGCTGGGAGCTCGTGGGCTCCTTCTTCTTTTCCGTGTCCACAGTCACCACCATCGGTAAGGGCAGCGTGGGGGCAGGGGGGCTGGGGCCGGGGAGGGCAGCCAGTCCCTGGGTGGCCACGAGGTCAGCTGCCTTTCATCCGGGTTACCTAGGGCCTAGCCCTGGACACACTGCAAGCAGGATCTTGGGCCTCCTGATTCCATCTGTGCATTTCACCCGGGGCCCCAGGGAATCTGTGTCCCATGCCACTGTAGGGCACAGGGACAGCTGAGCTAGCGCTACAGGACAGCTGAGAGGAGGCACCTGGGGATGGTGGTGAGAAGAAGGGGAGGGGCGGGCTAGCTCCCTGCAGCTCTAAGACCCAGAGAATAATTCAATCCAGGTCTCCGCTGTCCAGTCCCCCTCGCCCTTAACCTCGCGCAGCACAGCTGCTGCATGACACCAGACTCACCACCAGGTGGCAGGCAGACATCGCCCGAGACAGACTGCCTGCCTCTGCCTGATGCCATCATCCCAGCTCTGTCCTCCCTGGAGAGGGCAAGGCAAACATCTAGACAACTCTCCATCCAGTTGGGTTTTTGCTTTTTTTAGTGTTTTTTTTTTTTAAGGAAGAGAGCGGAACAGTATCAGGGAGACAGAGATCTTCCATCTGCTGCTTCACTCCCCAAATGCCTGCAACAGCTGGGGCATGGCCAGACCCAAACCGGGACACCTGGATTGACTCTATCCAGACCTCCCATGTCGATGGCAGAGACCCAAGTACTGGAGCCACCACCTGCTGCTTCCCAGGATGAGCATTAGCAGGGAGCTGGAATAGGAATCGGAGCCGGGACTCAAACCCAAGTGCGCCAGTGCAGCATGCTAGCATCCCAAGTCATGTCTTTTTTTTTTCTAAGATTTTTTTTAAGATTTATTTATTTATTTGAGAGGCAAGTTACAGAGAGGCAGAGGCAGAGAGAGATACATTTTCCATCAACTGGTTCACTCCCCAGATGGCTGAAATGGCTGGAACTGGACTGGGTTGAGCTGAAGCCAGGAGTCTGGAGCTTCTTCCAAGTCTCCCACGTGGGTGCAGGGACCCAAGGACTTGGATCATCTTCTGCTGCTTTCCCAGGCCATAGCAGAGAGCTGGATCAGAAGTGCAGCAGCTGGAGCTCAAACCAGCACCCCTATGGGATGCTGGCACTGCAGGTGGCAGCTTTACACACTACACTACAACACCACACACACTCCCCTCCCCTCCAAGTACTGCCTTAGCCACTGTGCCAAACACCCACCCCTCCGTCTTGTGCTAAGTCAGCCAGCACTTCTTGGAAGTAGATCTGGAGGCTGCATGGAACTTTGGCAGCCTTAGAAATAGGCATGCTCAAGGAGCCCCTGCCGGGACTGGCAGGGTGGGGTCTGTGCATCCGTGTAGCCTCAGGCTCTTGTACCAGGCCCAGCATACAGAGAGTGCTCAGCAGTTAAGGAATTCCATCACCTAGCGTTCAGCCAGCAAGCAGGGAGTTCCGGGGCCACAGGGGACCGGGCCGCAGTCTCCATGGGCCAGGCCCCCAGCTGTGTGCAGATCCCAGTCCTCCTACACCCCGTGCCCCAGGCCCGGGACTTTGGTCACCCAACACCAGTTCCACAGCCTCCCTGTTCCTAGCACCATCGATCATAGGCTGGACTGTTCTCCTGTCCCTACTCCTCCACTCACTTCTGCCCGGGAGCTGTCCCAGCCAGCACTGAGGAGGGGGAGGGCAGCACACTGGGATGCATCCCCGGAGGTCCTCCTGGAGCAAACACTTCTACCTTTGCAATCTCATTTTGTCCATGCAACAACCTCTGAGAACAGGTCTCTTACTGCTTTCATGTCACAGATAAGGAGACGGAGGCAGAGAAGTTGCACAACTCCCCCCAAGGTCACAGAGCTGGGGAGCAGCAGAGCTGGAATTCAAAACCTGCTGGGGGCTGCATGCTCTTTCCAATCATGGCTGCCCTGGGAGGGCTTAGAAGTGGGATTCTTTCCTTTTCAATGTTTGTTGTTGTTTTGAAAGGCAGAGAGGGGCCAGCGGCGCTGTGGTCTAGTGGGTAGAGCTGCTGCCTGCAGTGCTGGTATCCCATATGGGTGCCGGTTCGAGTCCCAGCTGCTCCACTTCCAATCCAGCTCTCTACTATGGCCTGGGAAAAACAGTAGAAGATGGACCAAGTCCTTGGGCCCCTGCAGCTGCATGGGAGACCTAGAAGAAACTCCTGGCTCCTGGCTTTGGACTGGCACAGCTGTGGCCAGTGCGGCCATTTGGAGAGTGAACCTGTGGATGGAAGACCTGTCTCTCTCTCTCTCTCTCTCTGCCTTTCAAATAAATAAATAAATAAATCTTTTTTAGAAAATGACAGAGTCAGAAAGAGATCTTCCACCTGTGGTTCACTCCCCAAATATCCACAACAGCCAGGGCTGGGCCAGGCCAAAACCAGGGGCCAGGAACCCAATCTGGGTCCCCCACATGGGCGGCAGGGGCTCAAGTGTTTGAGCCATCACTGCTGTCTCCAAGGGTGCACATTCACAGGAAGCTGGCATCGGAAGCACAGTCAGGACTTGAATTCAAGTACTCCCATATGGGATGCACATGTCCCAAGTGGTGTCTTTTTCTTTTTGAAAGGCAGGATTGGAGAGACATACAGACAGAAGCTCATCTGATGGTGCACTCCCCAAACTGGCCAAAACAGCCAGGACTGGGCCAGACCAAAGCCAGGAGCCAGGAGCTTCCTCCTGGTCTCCCACATGCAGGGGCCCAAGCACTTGAGCCATTCTCTGCTGCTTTTCCAGGAGCATCAGCAGGAAGCTGGATTGGAAGTGGAATAGTTGGGACTTGAACCTGTGCCTATGTGGAATGCTGGCATTGCAGGTGTCAGTTTTACCCATAGCATCACAGCACCAGGCCACCAAACACCGACTCCAAGGGTGGGGCTTCTAAGTAGCAAGAAGAAGCCATCCCAGGGTGGTCAGGAGGGAGACTTGTGATGCTGGGGGAAGTGGGAAACTGGGTGCACACAGGCACGGTGAGGGGGAGGGAAGGGAGAGGCCCCGCAGCGAGCAGCCAGGTCACCTGGGGTCAGCACCCTGTCGGCCCACACTTTCCAAGCTCTGAAATGAGACAGCACCCGACAGGCACACTCAGACTTCCCAGCCAGGCCTGAGCCCGGAAATCACTCATCCCCCCGAACCCCATTCCCAGCTCACTTACTGGTTCCCTCGCTTGTCCATGCATTCATCAACAGATGCACCAAGTGCCAGGTGTGTGGTGGGTTCACGATGTAGACACGGAACGAGGTGCTGACGACACAACAGTTACCTAAACCAGCAAGTCCTCGCCTTGAGGAGCTGATGTTCTGGTGTGAGGGGGACACCCTGTGAGCAAACTGATCCGTAGACAGTGCTCAGAGAAAGGCCAAGCCAGCTTAGGGAGTCTCAGAGTGATGGGCGGTGGGGAGCTAGTGTAGACGGGGTAGTTACTAAAGTACTCACTGATGCAGTAACATCGAAGCAAGGGCATGAGCAGAATAAGAGAGCAAGCATTGCAGGTGTCTAAAGAAAGAAGCTCACATGGGCAAGGGCATGTGTATGGAGAACTGTGTGCAGGTCCAGGTGGCTGGAAGGGGTTGCAAATGAGGCCTGAGTTGGGCGAGCACAGAGGAGCCTTCAGGCCGGTGTAGTGGTGCAGTGGGTTGAACCTCAGCCTGCAACGCCAGCATCCCACATCGGAGAGCTGATTCAAGTTCCCGCTGCTCCACTTCCCATCCAGCTCTCTGCTAATGCAACTGGGAAAGCAGCAGAGGATGGCCCAAGTGCTTGGGCTCCTGATACCCATGTGGGAGACCCAGATGAAGCTCCTGGCTCCTGGCTTTCGATCAGCCCAGCTCCAGCCATTGTGGCCATTTGGGGAGTGAACCAGCGGATGGAAGACTTCTCTCTCTTTCTGCCTCTGTGTCTTTGTAACTCAGCCTTTCAAATAAATAATAAATAAATCTTTTTTAAAAAGGATAGCAAGCCTTGTAGGGGCTTTGTGTGGTGCCCAGGGTTCCTGGCGTGGCAAGGAGGTGACACTGAGTGGGCAGTGCACCCACAGGGGGCTTCAACAAGCAGGCAGGCTGTGCTGATCGCTAGGATTTACTGGAGCCCAGGGACAGACTGGGACTGATGCGGGGGCGGCTGGAGTCTCCATGCTGCCCCCCCCAACTGGTGTAAATGGAGTGAAAAAAGCTCCAGGGACAGAGGAGAGGTCTCTCCTCTGTGGTGGGGGCCCACAGCTGAGGGGGGGGGGCAATGAGGAGGCAGACAGAGAAGGGGCTGGGAACCAAGGGGTTCGGCTTGTGCTGGAAGCTGACAGCCAGGAGGAGCCTCTCCCGCAGGAGAGGGAAGCTGGACGGGCCCAGAGCCAAGGTGGGCGGGGTGCGAGAGGGGGCCTGTAACGTCCTCAGAGGGAAGGCAGCGCGGCCGAGTCCTGCCGTTCATCCTTTCGCCCTTTCTCTCGGCAAACCCTGGTTTCCCACTTGTGCATTCCACCCAGAGGGCCTGCAACACAGCCCCCGTGCTACACTGTAGCCTCACACCAAGCTGCAGGTGGACACAGTGCCTCCACTTTACAGGCAAGGAAATGGGCTCAGGCAGGTCCATCCCCTGGCCCAAGGCCACACAGCCTGCAAAGGATTCAGACCTAGGAAGTGCATCAGGCTCCAAAGCATGTGCTGCGCACTTGGACATGCTCTGACCCCTCCCAGGGCCCCTCTTTTAGGGGAGGACCACCATTTCAACACAGCACAGGTGAGTGTAGTGCAGGGGGCACACTGGCCCTGTCTGGGGGAGCAGCGATGATACGGGACACAACAGGAGGCGTTCATTCATTCATTCAACATGCATTCCTTTCTTACTATTCTTTAAATTTTTTAAGACTTACTTACTTAGGGGGCCAGGGCTTTGGTGTAGAAAGTTAAGCCTCTGCCTACAGTGCTGGCATCCCATATAGGCACTGGTTCAAGTCCCGGCTGCTCATCTTCTGATCCAGCTCTCTGCAATGGCCTGGGAAAGCAGTAGAAGATGGCCCAAGTGCTTGGGCCCCTGTACCATGTGGGAGACCCAGAAGAAGCTCCTGGCTCCTGGCTTCCACCTGGCCCAGCCCCAGCCTTTGTGGCCATTTGAGGAGTGAACCAGCAGACTAAAGAGCTCTGTCTTTTCTTCTCTCTCTGTAACTCTGACTTTTAAATCTTTTTAAATCTTTAAAAAAGATTTATTTATTTATTTGAAAGGCAAGTAGTTGGCCCATCCTCTGCTGCTTTCTCAGGTCATTAAGAAGAAGCTGGATTGGAAATCGAACATCTGGGACTCAAACTAGTGTCCTTATGGGATGCCAGCACCGCAGGCAGCAACTTAATTCACTACATCACAGCACCAGCCCTGCATTCCTTTGTTTTTTTATTTTAAGGATTTATTTCTTTATTTATGTGAAAGTCAGAGTTGCAGAGAGAGGAAGAGACAGAGGGAGAGAACTTCCACTCACTGGTTCACTCCCCAAATGGCCACAATGGCTAGGGCTGGGCCGGCCGAAAGCCAGGAGCCTGGGACTCTATCCTAGTCTCCCAGGTAGATGGCAGGGATCCCAGGACTTAGGCCATCTTCTGCTTTCCCAGCCTCATTAGCAGGGAGCTGGATAAGAAGTGGAGCAGCTGGAACTTGAACTCGTGCTCTAACATGGGACACAGGCGTCACAGGCAGAGGCTTAACCTGCTGCTCCACAACACTGGCCCCTCCACAGGTGTTCTGTGCTCACTGCACCCAGGAAACATCAGGCCCTGGGCCAGCTGGTGACAGTGTGAGATGATTAAGACCCAGCCCCTGCCCGTGAGCATCTTGTGCTCTGTTGGAGAGATAGACCCGGGAACAAACCCTTCTTTTTTTTTAAGATTTATTTATTTATTTGAAAGTCAGAGGCCAGCGCCATGGCTCACTTGGCTAATCCTCCGCCTGCGGCGCCGGCACACCAGGTTCTAGTCCCGGTTGGGGGGCCGGATTCTGTCCTGGTTGCTCCTCTTCCAGTCCAGCTCTCTGCTGTGACCCGGGAAGGCAGTAGAGGATGGCCCAAGTGCTTGGGCCCTGCACCTGCATGGGAGACCAGGAGGAAGCACCTGGCTCCTGGTTTTGGATCGGCGCAGTGCGCCGGTCATGGCAACCATTTGTGTGGTGAACCAATGGAAAAAGGAAGAGCTTTCTCTCTGTCTCTCTCTCTCTGTCTAACTCTGCCTGTCAAAAAAAAAGTAAATCAGAGTTACACAGAGAGAGGAGAGGCAGAGAGAGAGAGAGGTCTTCCATCCAATGGGAGCCAGGAGCTTCTTCCAGGTCTCCCACATGGTGCAGGGGCCCAAGGACTTGGGCCATCTTCTACTGCTTTCCCAGGGCATAGCAGAGAGCTGGATTAGAAGTGGAGCAGCCGGGACTTGAACCAGCACCCATATGGGATGCCGGCACTGCAAGTGGTGGCTTCACCCAATACACCACAGCACCGGCCCAGGGACAAACCATTCTCACACACACAGGCAACTCCCAGGGGACAAGGAGGGGACATGCACTCTTGGTAGACAGAGCAGACGTCCAAAGGCACAGGGGCAGGAGAGAGTCCAGGGTTCCACGGGGTGGGCGTGAGGCCAGGGCTGGGAAGGTGGGAGCCCAGAGAAAGCTCAGAGGTGGTCTGGGCTAGGACTTGGATATTTCCCAGCAGACATGAAAGCAACACCGGGCTGTCGTCTGGCTGAAGGTGTGACCATGTTTGCATGTTAGAAAGACAGGACAGCAGGAAGACAGAGATGGGAGAGAGAAGGGTACCCGGGCTGAGTGCATCCTTGGGTGAACGGCCCAGCCCCCTCCAGAGGCCCGACTTCCACCTGCCCTGGGTGGGCCGATGTGCCAGTGTCTGCTCCACTGCTCCCACAGTTTGCGGGAGCCCCAGGGTTAGCCTGGGTCCTCCAGGAATCAGGTATCGAGAAGTAGATGTGCAGGAGGTGTATGGAGCAGGGACGTGGGGCGAGGGGTAGGAGGAGAAAAGAGAAAGAGCAGAAGAGATGGAGAGGTCTGGCACCCACAAGGGAAGAGGCGCAGATGGGCAGCTCTGAGAAGGCCCAGAGCCAAGTGCTCACAAGGCAATGCTGCCTGCCTTACGCAGGGACAGCCACTGTGGGGCCCCAGCTGCCCCGCCTGGAGACAGCCCGGCCCCTGCCCACATGGTGCAGCCGATCTCACAGGTGCAGCCGCTGGAGGCTCTGCCCCTCCCCTATACCCTCTTCCCAGGCCCGAAGAGGAATGGAGAGGCTTGAGCCACTCAGCCTGCTGGGCTGGGCGCATGCTCACTGCTCGGCTTTCTGGAGCTTCCATTCTCCGTCCTGTGAAACACAGGCCATTGGCCTGGTATGGAAGGGTGGGGAGGCTGAGTAGAGAGATGGACGGGAGGGGGGCCCTGCCCAGTGCCCAGCACAGGATAGGAAGACCTCCATGAGTACCACCTTCCCAGCTCTGCAGTGAGCCAGGCCTGCGGGCCCTGGCCATCGGGCCGGGGAGGACAGGGCTGTGGTGGGGAGCTGGCGGGGCTGGGCTGGAAAGGTTCCACCCCTCCCCCCTCTGCCGCAGGCTATGGCAACCTGAGCCCCCGCACCAGAGCTGCCCGTCTCTTCTGCATCCTCTTCGCTCTTGTGGGGATCCCGCTCAACCTCGTGGTGCTCAACCGCCTGGGGCACCTCATGCAGCAGGGCGTGCACAGCTGTGCCCGCAGGATGGGGGGCGCCTGGCAGGTGAGGGCACTGCTAGCCAAGGGTGGGGCCCGGGTTGCTGGGGCGGGGTGGGGGAGGGGCGTCACTGCTCAGCCTGGAGGGCTTTGGTTAATAAAGGGCAGCCATTGCGGACTCGGGTGGGCCCTGGTGGACAGGAAAGGTGTGAGACGGCAGAGGCTGGGACCCAGGAGAACGGAGGGCCCTAGGGGATGGCCGCGTCTTCCTCAGGGAGAGGCCTGGTCCTCACCCGCCAGAGCCCCTAGGCAGAGAGCCGTGGGAGCCGGGCACTGCGTGTCCCTGCAGGACCCTGCTAAGGCGCGCTGGCTGGCGGGCTCCAGCACCCTGCTCTCGGGCCTCCTGCTGTTCCTGCTGCTGCCACCGCTGCTCTTCTCACACATGGAGGGCTGGAGCTACGAGGAGGGCTTCTACTTCGCCTTCATCACCCTCAGCACCGTGGGCTTCGGCGACTACGTGATCGGTGAGCACCCCCATCTTGCCCGCCCACTCCTCTGCTCTGTAGCTGGAGTCTGCTGGGCGCCAGGCCCCATGGGGGGCTCTGAAGGCCCAAAGTCCAGAGGACTGGGCCCTGGGCAGGTTCAAGCCCTTTTTTGGTGACACGGCTAAGGTCACTCCTGCCCATCTTGACGAGCCTGGGGGTGGGGGCGACCTCCCGTGGTCACAGGCTCCCTTATTGTTCTCGGGGTGCTCCAGACAAGGCAATCCCTGACCTGCCTCCCCTGTCTGGCTGTGCCTCAGGGTCTCCCCTCCCCATATCCTCACCTCCCTGGCAGCCATCCCACCTTACGGCTCACCCATGACATCCCAGGCTCCCCAGACAAAGGGCTGCCAAACTGAGTGCCAGCCGGAAAATTGCAGCCAGGTGCAGAGGGTCCAAGGTTAGGGGAGAGTCCGTGGTCACCACCCACCACGGATGACACACCCACCCCCAACCCACGACCACCCTTGCAGAATAAGGGTGAAGCAGGTGGCCAGCAGGTGGCAGTGCAGGGACATGCTGTGCAGCAGCTGGGGTCCCTCCCCACCGGTACCACCACCATGCTGGCCTCCAGGGGCTCTGCGCCCTCCTCTGAACCCACAGCCCTAAAGTGCAGGGGAGAACCTGCCCCTCACCCCTTCAGGGACAGAACCCTGCCTGGCACATTGAAACAAAGCCTTAACTAGGGGCTGACACAGCAGGCCACCTGGCGTGACAGTGGTCGCTCAGAGGGGCCCTTTGCCAAGACCACACAGCTGTGAGACGGGACTGCGGAGCTGTCTGGCTGAAGCTTACACCTTCTCCCGGTGGCCTGACTTGACCCCGCCTGGGCCTCAGCGTCCCTTTCTGTAAAATGAGGCGCCCCATCCGTGCCTGCTGCCTCTGTGTGCAAGGCCCCTTTCCTGCTAGGGGCCTCTCTTTCTCCAGTAAGAGGGCTCTGGTGCTGGGGCCTCCTGGTCTCCCCATCCTGGGAGGGTCTCTTGCCCGGGACCTGTTCCCATCTCTACCTTAGAGCAGAGAGATGTGTCTGAGGAGAGCTGAGCCCAGCAGCTCCAACGGCCACCCCTGCCCCATCTCAGCTCAGAGAATGATGCTTGGATCCGTCTCCATGCCCACTGTCCTTTCCCTCATCTAGGTGGGGCTGTCGCATCCAGCTGCACGGGTTGGGCACTGCACAACTTAAAAGCCCACAGTATAAATAGGATGGTACCCTTGCAACAGAGCAGCCTCTTCATACAGATGACCCTGAAAAACTACGAGGGCTGCTCTAGCCCCTGCCCTGCCACTCCGAAAGCCCTTTTCTCCATAGACTTAGGATGGGGTTCAGTATCCAGAACCAGGCCTGTGAGGGTCCTGTGTGCCCAGGCACCTGCCTCCCTCTGCACCCCGAGCTCTCAGCCTCCTGTGTGGCAGCACCCTGGCCCCCGTGAGATGCCGTGTGAGCAGCCGCAGCAGCCTCACCCCGGGCTGGGCGCTGGCCTGCGGAAGCCGGAGTGGAGTTGCTAAGGATCACGGAGAGGACATGAAGGCCAGAGAGGCCGTCCAGGAGGAGCAGCTCTGCCCCCGGGCAGCGGCAGTGGACGAAGCTGCCCCTTTCGGCTCTGCAGACCCCACCAGGCTCCACTCCCTCTGCAGTTGCTGTGGGGCTTTGTGGCAGGTGCCACGCTGAGAGCCCTCCACAGCTTCCTCTTAAGGCTGGGGAAACTGAGGCCTGGAGCGGGAAGGGAGCCGATGGAGGTCCTAGAGTGGGCGAGTCTGGGACGGACTCCCCAGTCATTGCTCTTCACCCCCATGTACCCCAACACCTGCCACACCTCCTCCCCAAAGCTCAACTCGCCTTGCCCTCTGGGGGCAGAGGCAGCCCCTTCCGTGGGTGGGAATGCTGAGGCCCCCAGTGGCCACTGGATGTGCACTGTCCCTGTGTTGGCGGCCACCAAGGGCCTCGTCCTCTCGGCCCAAAGCCTGTGTCCCAAGCAGCCCCAGGTCCCTGCATCTCCCTGCCCGCCCCCACCCTGGTTTCCCTCAATTGCATTTGCAGCTCGGTGGAGCGCTTTGCCAGCTGCCAGGGCCCCTGCCACTCAGGATCGTCAGCAAAAACAATGAAATAACGGGGGAGAAGAACACCTCCCCTCTGTGGGGCCAGCAGCCAGGGAGCTGGTGGGTGGCGGGCCCGAGAGCTGGCTCACCGCTGATCGTATTTGGAGCCCTAACCCAATCAGTGTAATCCAATCCCAGCCCCTGCCAGGCGGTGGAGGGCAGCTCCGGAGCTGTGGCCTCGTCCCCAGGCTGGGGTCCCCTAGAGGAGTGCGGCCTGGCAGAACCTGGGCACTGAGTCTGGTGCAGGGAGTTCGGACCACGGATGTGAAGGGAGGAGGAGGGCCGCGCCCACCCTTTGAATCGTGCTAGTCTGATGAGAGAGGCAAGGCGCTCAGAGAGGACAAGACGGAGCCGAGCCTCTCGGCAAGCCCCATCAGCCCTTCCTGCGGCCATGGCTCTCCCAGGAGCAGCTGTGCCCGGGGCATCTGCGAGTGAGTGGAGCAGTGAACCAAGGCTGGGTCTCGGGCACCTGTCCTGTACCAGGCCCTGTTCCCCACACTGTGGCTGCATCAGCTCACGTGGGCTTCACGGCTGTTGGACGAAGGCTCTTCCCGTCTGTTTCACAAAGCAGGAAGCAGCTTAGCCAGCAACAGCATGTGGGCAGAGAGAGAGAGAGAGAGAGAGAAAGGGAGGGAGGGAGAGAGAGAGAGAGAGAGAGAGAGAGAGAGAGAGAGAGAGAGAGAGAGATCTGGTCTCAAGGGACTGATGTCCGAGGTCTGGAGGATAAGCAAGGAGCTAGAAACAAAGAGCGTTGGAGCCCAGGGGCCGGAGAATCTGAAGACCCCACGGCAGGCGGGATGATGACAGGGAAAGCAGGACAGGGCCAGGGTGAGGCGGCCGTCGCCATCCGAGGGGAGAGGGCGCTGGAGACGTGGCCAGGGCACCGGGCGGTAAGGATCCGGGACTTCAGCCAAGAGGGGAAATCACCTCTTCAGCTGGCTGTTGGGTCAGGCGGAGGCCACACACAGCTGCTGCGACCCAAGCAGGACACGCGAGCCGGCGCCTCCGCCCATTCCACCCAAGCCCCTGGCTTCCTCCTTTCCAATGTGGGCAGACCCCGCCCAGAGACAGGCAGGCGGGCTGAGGCTTCGCACGGCTCACCTTGGGTCAAAAGATAAACTCATTTTGGTGCCAAATAACTTTGAAATCTGTAGGTGGGTTTTTTGTAATTTTGGCCACCATGAACCTTTGGTGGGCCCTGACTCTCTGGTGGGGGGCTCTCAACACACGGATGCTAGGCCTAGTCCCCAGGGGTCTGGTTCAGTCGCTCTGGCGTGGGGCCCCGTCCAGGTGTGTTTCTAACAAGCTCTGTGGTGCTGGTGCTGATGGCCAAGGGACCACAGTCTGGGAACCTGCGACAGAGCCAAGGCGAGCTTCCAAACCCAAAGTGTCAGTCCAGGGCGGCTTCCCAGAACCCCAGGGTGGTGACCACGAGGCCAGAAACCAGTCTGGACTCCCCATAATCCGCCCCACTGGCCCCGTTTCTCTTTTAGGCACAGGGCCCCGCCCTTCCCAGACCCTGCCCCCGCCCAGCTCCAATTTTACCTTTGCCTCTTCTCCAGGGATGAACCCCTCCAGGAGTTACCCGCTGTGGTACAAGAACACGGTGTCCTTGTGGATCCTCTTTGGGCTGGCGTGGCTGGCCTTGATCATCAAACTCGTCCTCTCGCTGCTGGAGACCCCAGGGGGCACATGTTCCTGCTGCCACCATGGCTCCAAGGGCCGGAGCTGGAGGCAGGGCCCGGATGGAGAGCCCGAGTCCTCCTGCCCACAGCCAGGCTGCTGTCCGGAGAGGCCTGTGGGCCTCACGGAGTACCTGGGTCCCTCTCCTCCGGATGTAGGCTGTGGCAAGGACGGCTAGTGGTACACTCGATCATGTCCACCTTCCTTCTCCCTAACAAGACCCCCGACTTGGGGCTTGGCACGTGACTACCCAAGCCAAAGACTACATTCTCTAGGTGCAGCTATGTATATTAAATTCTGTTCAACAGGAAACACAGAAGTATCCCATGTGACTTAGGGGATGAGGCTTTTGGGATGGAGTGCACCCCTCTTCCCCACTTCCTTCCTCCAGCTGGCCGAAATACTGATAAGGTGGCTGGAGCTCTGGCAGCTACATTGCACCATAAGATAGAAGCCATGTTTGAGATCAGCGGCACAGGAGAAAGAGCCGGGACCCCCTGATGATCACAAACCCGGGCTGAATACCACCAGTCTTCCTTCAAGAGAGAGAAATAAACGTCTTGGTTTAAATGCTGTTGTTTGCCTGTTTCTGTCACTCAGAACCAAACCTAAATCTAACTGACACACACTCCTGGGGGCAAAGGCAGCTGCTCTCCCTGGGTGAGCTTGCCCAGGACAGGTGGAGTGAATGGAGTGAAGGCTGGAGCAGCCCCTGTATCTTGCCAGGTAAATTCCTTGAGTATCTGCTGTTGCAGCTGTCGGGTCCCAGGTCACCTGCTGGCTCCTTGCTCCGTCACCGCTTTGTGCCACAGGAAAGCCAATGGCAGGCAGTGGGCAGGAGCCTTACCCTGCACACGGCACTTAGGCCCCAGCCGCAGTTTGCAGAGCCCCATGGGATGGGCAGTGGCCACTTCTGCTTGCAGAGCCTGTCATTCTGCACAGGACCGTGTATCCCTCAGGACTGCTAGCTACTAAGGCACCACACACACGCAGAGCCCCTGGCAGTGCCAGCCAACACCTGAGCTCACCTGGGCCAGCTGGCTTCTTGACCTCAGCCTGCACCTGTGACTTGGTTCCTTCTACCCATCCTACAAGGCTGCACCGCAGACTTGGGGAACTCCACGTGGCCCCTCCCTGTGACCATGCCCTCGGTCCCAGGGGCCTCCTGGAACCAAGTCAAAAGCAGTCTTTTGGCCAAAGAGGTGTGGAGCACTGTTACACCATCTCGATTGCACCATCAGATCTGGCCCTAAGTGGACCAACGCCAGACACAGGGACAACATTACCCAGAGAGCCAACAGGCTGGGCAGAGGGACACAGATGAACAAGAGATTGTGGGGCCCCTAGGAGCTGTAGCCCTTGCACTTAGAAACGGAACCTAGAAACCAAAACCCGGTCAGAGGGCCAGGCCAGCGTGCTGGGCTGCCCCCTGGGGTCCCAGTGCTGCCCAGCCTCACACTGGGCCAGCAGGACCCACGGTCTCCCCTCTCCATCAAGCCCATCTTCCCCTCCGCAAGCCTAAACCCCAACCCTCATGCTCAGAAGCTGTTGCCACCTCCACCCCATCCCAACCCCAGCCAAACGGGAATGCTGGGGAGGTGGGCGGAGGAAGGCTTCCGATTGGCTGGTGCCTTGCAGCGCTCTGCTTCTCAGCCAATGAGAAGACTGGAACCCCAAGGTGCAGATCCGAGCGCAGAGGGGTGGAGGTGTCATTGACTAGGGCAGAGGTGAGGGTTGGGAGAAGCCACACTGAGAACCACCCGGGGAGGTGGATCCCCGACAGGCGGAAGATATTGTCAGACCGCAGGACGGACGTCCCAGAAAGGGACCGGAGGGAAGGGAAGTGCGAGTGAGGGTGGCAGGAAGTCACGAGCCCCTTCCTTCCCGCAACCTCAGGCAGGCCCTTGAGGGGTGAGGAGCTGGGCACGCGGGTGCCAGAGCGTGGTTCGCCGGGTATGGAGACAGCCGGCCCGGCCCCCAAAGCTCGGCTGAGCTGCGTCCCGGCCCTGCAGGCCTCGGGAGATCTTTGGGTGTCTGCTGCATCGGGGCGCTCCTGCGCGCGCGGAGGAGCTAAGATCCCCCGGAATCCGGCGCTGGGCGCGCTCGCTCAGAACCCTGTGTGGCCTCCGCTGAGCCCTCTGGGGCCGGCCGGGCTGGCGGGGCTGAGCGGGCCGTGACGCAGGCCTGAGCCGGGCCCGTGGGGGGCTCCCAGGCCGATAGCATCGCGACGCACGGGATTCACAGGGAGCGCGAGGCGCAGGGCCAAGCATGTGGACCTCGGCCAGCCCTGAGTCCCCAGGGCTCCTCGAGGGGCTGCGGCCCCGGGTGGTGCCCTCTGTCACTCTCCTGGCTCCTGTGGTCACTGTCGCCGCTTCGCCGCGGTTCCCGTGTGCTGGGCGCTGCTCCAATCGTGAGAGCCTAAAAGTAGGCGCCGGCCGCAGGGGATCTGAATCTGACAACCACCACTGTCTCTGCCTTCTCTAGGTCGGCCTAATTAATTACATTTGTGAGCCGTACCCCGCCCAGCCAGCCTCCCCGGGCTGCCTCAAGTTTTAGATCCAGGGAGATCTCTGTCCCAACTCTGCCTTCTCCCTCGCCTTTCCTGTGTCGCCTTCCCGGGTCTGTCTCTCTGGCTGCGTCTCTCCTCGCCCCACCACGGCCCTCTGCCTGTCTGCCTCACCCGCTCACCCGCACGCATGCACGCACTCCTGAGATCTGGAGATCCACAGAGAAGGGGAGAGCTGCCCACGGCTCCCCATGCCCACTGCTCCTGCCTCCGGGTCCTCCACCGCTGCTGCCCCCGCCAGCCTGGCTGGGGAAGGGGTGCCTTCGTTTCAGGAACCAGAGCACAGGAGGCCCCGACTCCTTGGCAGCCAGAAGGCCCACCAGTCAGGGCCAGCAGCTGCACTGCCTCCCCATCCCCAGATGCCCTCAGCCCTTACCTCACCCAGCCTCAGCCTGGGCTCAGGGCCCAGAGTGCACTGCTCCCAAGGAGGCCCCACTGACCTCTGCCTGTGCAGCCACACACAGAGCTGCGCCCCACCCCAGCCCCACCAGCAGCACTGCTCCTCAGGCCTGCATTCCCCCCGGCTCAGTGCCCGGTCCTCTCTCTCCTGCCCCTCCTCCACCCTTTCCCAGCCAGGACTCATCCCGTGCTGTAGATATTCCTGGGGCCAAGGAGACCGCCACCCCCACCCCACCCCTAGGGACTCATCAGCGCCAAACCCTGACCCAGCCAGAGGGACCCCATCTCCCCCCGAGGCCTGCGGGCAGGAAGAACAGCCAGAGCTGGACACCTGCTGCCCACCAGTGTGAGAGCAAAACTGCCCAAGGGCCAGCGTTCGGCCCAGGGGTTAAGACGCCACTCAGGAGTGCCTGGGTTCCAGACCCAGCTCTACCTCCAATCCAGCTTCCTGCTAATGTGTACTGGGAGGTAGCAGGGGTGGCTCGAGTACTTGGGTCCCTGCCAGCCACGTGGGAGACCTGGATTCGCTGTTGCAGGCATTTGGGGAGTGAACCAGTGGATGGGAGCCCCCCTCCCTCACTCTCTCTCCCCCTCTCACTCTCTCTGCCTTTCAAATAAAATGAAAGAAAAAAAGCCAAAGCCTGCAAAGCCCCTCCCCACAGCGCCAGCAGTGCCTTGCTCCATGCCTGCCCGAGGTTAGGACCCTATCCAGCCTCTGCCGACAATCCAGCCTTTCTCTGTCTTTTCAGACCCACTTGTACCTCCCTTGTTCTTCCCTGGACTCAGGCACATGTGAGTCTCTGTCTCAACTCTCGATTTCTTGCTGTATAACACTGCAGAAGCTGCACAGCCTCTCTCAGCCTCAGTCTTCCCATCTGCAAAATGGAAATTCTCAAGACCGTTTGGGTGAGTGTGTGGGGTGAGGGGTGAGGGGTGACAGAGGAGAAAGTACCTGATACATGTAGGGCACAAAATACCTGTTCCCCTGTTGGACTTAAGCTCCTCCCCTCCACTCTCTTCCACCATCGTCTGTATCCCTTCCTCCCAGAAGCCCTTCTGGACCTGCCTGCACTTTGGCCTCCAGTGGACTTGGAGAGGCTGAAAGGAGGCAAAGAGATGGATGGAAGGGGGTAAGGGCAGCTCTCTAATCAGCCATCTGGCCATGGCCTCTGTGGTCCAGCATTGGCCTGGGGCTTGGGGTCAGAGCAGGGGGTACGTGAGAATTCAGCACCAACTCGGGTTGTCATTCTGTCATGGGGCTCCTTCCTCCCATCCCCTCCCTGACTTTCTCTGAATCCCAGAGCCCCTTGGACCGTTCTTCACTAACCCCCTGGACCGTGCCACCCAGACCCCTTCTGTTACCCCATGTCAGCCCAGAGGTGATGACAACCCCCGCCAGTGGCTGGTCCCTAGGAGTTCCACAGGGAACCTTGCAAAGTCCCATCTGCTGCCAAAGCCCTGAGCCAGGAGTGGAAAGGACGTGAGGATGGAGACCCAGAGTGGGTCCCCAGGCCTGCCTCTGCCAGGCCAGGGACAGCAGCACGAGGGCAGGGGGCAGCCTCTCCTACACCTTCTCTCAGTCCTGCAGAGAAGCAAACGGACCCTATACCGTGGAACTCCCTCATCAGACTGGGAACTCCATGGCGTCAAACGTAATGTCTCCCCCATCTGACTGTGTGCACAGTGCGTGCAGGGGCTGTGTTTTTACTCATGGTTTTGCTTATTCTCTCCAATATCTGGCTCAAACCCAAATTCTGCTCAGTGCAAAACGCAGAGACACAGACACGTTACCAAACCTGGCCCCTGCCTCCCAGGAGGGAAGCAGATGTAGGTAAGAGGCTGGGGGGGCGGAGCACCGTCCCCACAGCCAGCCCACCTGGGTCATGTCCCAGCCTTGCCACTCACCACTGTGTGACCTTGAGCAAGTCGCTTCGCCTTGGGGACACCAAGTTGTGCCAGTGTTCCTGGGACAGTCCAAGGAGCCCTTATGGTCCCAGAAAAAGTGTGGCAGCTGTCCACCCCTCCTAAGTGCCTCATGCCTCAGTTTCCCCATACATAAAGTAGAAATGCCGATGGTTGTATCTGCCTCAGACAGAAGGCCACTGAGTTACTGCAAACCCAGAATGTTCCCCAGAGGCAGACCCCAGGACGGGGGTTGGCGGCAAGAAGTTCATTTGGGAAGTGACAAGAAGCACAGAAATCAGGGCCGCATTGTGCCACAGTAGGCTAAGCTATTGCTTGAAACGCCAGCATCCCATGTGGATGCCAGTTCAAGTCCCAGCTGCCCCAGTTCCCATCCAGCTCTCTGCTATGGCCTGGGAAAAACAGTAGAAGATGGACCAAGTCCTTGGGCCCCTGCAGCTGCATGGGAGACCTAGAAGAAACTCCTGGCTCCTGGCTTCTGGCTTCTGGAGTGAACGAACAGATGTTCTCTCTCTCTCTCTCTCTCTCTCTCTCTCTCTCTCTTCTCTCTCTCTCTGTCACTAAATCTTAAATCTTTTTTTTTTTAAGGGAAAGGGTTTATTGGGGAAAACCCAGCAGACTGGAGGGGAGGGACAAAGAAGGATAAGAGAGAGAAAGAGTGTATAAGAGAGAGAGAGAGA